TGCAGGCCATGGTAAGGGCCTGGGTTTTTTCCTAAGTGCTACAGAAAGTCATCAGAGGGTCATAAACATGCTGGTGATGTGACGGAGCTGAAGCCCCAGAGTTTAGGGGCACAAGGGGACTTTCCGGGGTGATGTGCATGGCTTATATCTTGGTGGGATGAGGGCTACGTGAGTGCATGCACTCATGAACCCACTGAGTGGTACGCTTTAGAACTGGGCTCCTGCATTGTATGAACATTATGTCAGTGTAAAATATATATATATTTGGCTGCACCAGAACTTACTTCTGACACTCAGGATCATCAGTCTTTGTTGCAGCATGCACAGTACCTTTTACCTTCGGCATGTGGGGTCTAGTTCCCTGGCCAGGGATCTCAAACTCAGACCCCCTAAATTGGGAGCGCGGTTCCTTGCCACTGGACCATCTGGAAAGTCCCTATGGCGGTTTATAAAAGGACAAAGGCAAAGCTCACCCCAGCTATTGTGAGGCGGGTGGACAGAGGGGGTGAAAAGCAGGAGACGTCCTGGCTGAGGTCGCGGCGCTGGGGGTGGAGAGATGGTCTGATTAAAGATCTCTTTTGAAGGCCAAGCAGAAGGATTTTGGATGTTAGGGGTCAGGGACTGAGCTAGTAGATGGTGTGATGAGAATTTCAATCCAGAGTGGTGTAATTTCAAAGGCCATAAAAAGACCAATAAAAGGTTATTTATCTACTCTTTTTTTTTTTTTGCCACACCTCCAGGCATGTGGGAGCTTAGTTTCCTACCAGGGATGGAATCCAAGCCCCCCGCAGTGGAGTTCAGAGTATTAACCACTGAACAGCAAGGAAGTCCAAATTGTTACTCCCAAGGGCACAGGTGTGCCGGTGGGAAGAGCTTTCCCTTGGCCGTGCTGCCTGTCCTTAGTCAGTCAGGATGTCCCATTTCTGCCCATCACCTGAACTGCTATGTATATAACTAAGATTGTCTTTATTTTTTAATAAGGGGAGTGCCATCATATTTCTGGGACTTCCTTGGTGGCTCAAATGGTAAAGAATCTGCCTGCAATGCAGGAGGTCTGGGTTCAATCCCTGGGTCAGGAAGAGTCCCTGGAGAAGGGACTGGCTACCTACTCCAGTATTCTTGCCTGGAGAAGTCCATAGACAGAGTAGCTACTGTTTGTGGGGTTGCAAAGAGTCGGACATGACTGAGCGACTACCATTTCACTTTCATATTTATCTATTAAATTATCTAAAAAGTTTTAAAATTTGGCTGCATTGGGTTTTCATTGTTGTGGAGCACAGGCTCTAGCGCGGGCAGGCTCAGCAGCCGTGGCACTCAGGCCTAGTTACCCCATGGCATGTAGGATCTTTATTCCCCGACTAGGGATTGAATAACTTGTCTCCTGCATTAGAAGGCAGATTCTTAACCACCAGACCACCAGGGAAGTCCCTAAAGTTGTCTTTAAATGTGAGTCATTTAAAAAGTAAATCTTGCTTTTCAGGGACTGCAAATCTGGAGAGATCCTGGCTGGGAGAAGGACTTGAATCTCATTGTGCTCCCAGCCTTTCAACCCTCCCCGGAGTAGAAATGGCCTGATTAAAAAAAAAAAAAAGTAAAACCTGAATGTGTTTATTTACAAGGCAACCTTAGCAAACCAGGGTTACTTGTTATAACTAGCAGGGGGATGATAATAACCAGCCCAATAAAACCAGACAATGTTATTGAATGAAAAATTCAAAATAATGAAATACTTGAAAACTAAATTCCTGAAGAATGGTACATATTTTCTAATTTATTTATTTTTAATTGAAAGATAACTGCTTTACGGTATTGCGTTGGTTTCTACCAAATATCAACATGAATCAGCCATAGGTTTACCCCTGTCCCCTCCAAGAATGGGACTTCTGATGCTTATGTAACAAGGGCCTATAGTCATTGCTAGGCCTTAACTGTATTCAAAAATCAATTTGTAATCACTTACCTGTGTTTTTATAGGAGAAATATTGAAACAGAAATGAAACTAGTGACTCTAGGAAGTACAAACAAGGGCTTGAAGTCTCTTTATTAGATTCCTTGGAGGAGAGCTGGGCAACCCACTCCAGTATTCTTGCCTGGAGAATCCCAACGACAGAGGAGCCTGGCGGGTTATGGTCCATAGCGTCAAAAAAAGTCGGACACGACTGAAGTGACTGAGCATGTGGTACGTATCTTAACCCTGGGGGCACCCTGGGGCCTTTGCTGAGCGCTGGGACCTGCCTGGGATCCTGACCCAGCACATCCAGCACAGCAAGGAAGTCTCAAGGAGGCCTTAGGATAGCTAAAGAGTTAACATTGTTTTTTTTTTACTTTTTGTTGTCAATTTATTATTTATCCCTTTGCCAAAATCCAGTGAGGCAGGGATTCATAAAAATTTTGGGGAGTTCTCTGGAGGCCTAGTGGTTAGGATTCCAGGCTGTCACTATGGTGGCCCAGGTTCAATTCCTGATTGGGGAACAGAGATCCTGCAAGCTGCACAGCGAGGCCAAAATAAAAATAGGTACAGAGTTTTTAAAAAGATCCTCTATAGCAGCCAAAGAATCAGTTTTACCTCTATTACTTTTCCGAAGGACAGAAATCAGGAACTCTGGCATTTGTCCAAAAGCAGTGTTAAAAATATCTGCTCCATCAAGAAAATGATTTGACGATCACTCCTTTAGAAAGAGCTTAATTTACATTTCAGATGGAAATTTTTCTTGGGAGAATTGTAGATTCACATACAGTTATAAAAGAAATAATACAGAAGGGAATTCCCTGATGGTCCAGTGGTTAGGACGCTGCCCTTCTACAGTCAAGGGCCAGGGTTCCATCAAGGTTTTAAAACATGTCTGCAGCGGGGCCGGAGTGTGGGGACCTCCTTCTAGCTCCCGAGTGATGCTAGCAAGCAGCCACAGAGGAGCAAGCGCCATCCCCACCTTCCCTCGGGCCGATCTCCTGCGTCCCTGGCTCACACTGATGCCCTCCCGGCCTGCAGGACTGATCTTGCCCCACGCCTGGCTGTTGCTTCAACGCCCTTAGGGATCTGCTCAAATGCCACCTCCTCAAGGACATGGGTTTTACTCCAGCTGCCTAGGCCGTCAGTGGTCATGGGAGCCTTTCTCAGTGGAGACAGGGGATGCCAAGTCAAGGCCTCAGGGCGGGACCCAGTGGATGAGGCTGGGAGTTATCCTTGACCGCCAGTACACACCGCAGACATCCCCGAGGAGCAATTTCTAAAGTGTGGGTATTCCAAGAAATAAAAAAGTAAAAACATTATTTAAAAAAGGGACTTCCCTGGCTGTCCAGTGATTATGGTGCTGCTTCCACTGAAAAGTGTGTGTTCAATTCTGGCTACTAAGATCGTGCCTGCTGTGTGGCACAGCCAAAAAAAATAAATAAACAGGACTTTCCCTGGTGGTCCACCGGATAAGAATCCACCTGCCAATGCAGGGGCCTGGCTTAGACCCCTGGTCTGGGAGATCCCACATGCTGCGGGCAACTAAGCCTATATGCTGACCACATGCTCTAGAGCCCGCGCCCTAAACAAAAGAAGATGCCGCAATGATAAGTCCCCCTCGGTGCAGCTAGAGAAAGCCCCTGCGCAGCCACAAAGACCCAGCGCAGTCAAAAATAAATAACATAAAATTTAAAAAGAGAAACAGGGACTTCCCTGGTGGTCAAGTGGCTAATACTCCGAGCAGGGGGCCCCAGTTCAAACCCTGGTCAGAGAACTAGATCCATGCCTCAACTAAAAGTTCGTATGTGGCATCTGAAGATCCTGTGAGCTGCAAACTAAGACCCAGTGCAGCCAAATGAATTAAAAAATAAAACATTTATAAAGTGTGGGTCCTCCGTGATGCTGTGCCTCTAACTCCTCTGCAAAGACTTCACACCTCCCCCCTGAGCTTTGACAGGTTGTCTCCACCCAGAACTGAATCTATTTTTTGGTTTGTTTTTTGGATAGCTTTTTTATGGCCAGTGGCACTGACTTTTTCAGAGTCATGACATCATCTTCTGTCAAAAAACTGACATAAGGACTTGATTTTTAAAACTATGAAATCTATGAAAATTCAGGTGGTTCGGTGACGTGGTGAAACTGAGCAGGAAGACCTAGTGGGGCTCCTGGGCACAAAAGCCTTTCTGTACCCCCTATTTCTTGTTTGCAGGAAATAGGCTTCATTCAGCCTCCACAACCTTCCGAGTTCCAAACAGCTGTTAATCAGGGAAGGTGGAGGATGCAGAGAATGGAGTAGTCAAGAGACAATACTGCAGCCTTAGGACAGGGTCCTGGTTCCCCCTCACAGGACACACAGAAGACTTTTGAGCTGTCTGGCAGCTCAGGTGGGAGAAGTTAACGGTATGCTGCCCACAAACAGGCAGACAGACCCCAGACTGGTCGGAATCAGAAAATTGATGGTGCTGACTCCCAACTGTTTCATCACCAACCTCAGAAGAATGTTCACGAGCGGGTCACACCCTCTTTGAACTTTTCATAATAAACTCCTCACTACCCTCTCTGGGTTGGGACACAAAATCTTGAGGGTTATCAGCCCTCTGTGTCCCCCTTTGCCTGGCAAAGCAACCAAATTATCCTTTTCTATTGCACCCGAAACAGATTCAGTTTGGTACAGGACAGAGTCTGGATTTTCGCTGCCAGTCCAGGCAAGCTGACCCCAGCGGATTACTGTCTTCGAGGAGAAGGCAGTGCTGGGCAGGCCCTCAGAGAGCAGCTAGGATGTCCAGAGCCCAGGACACGTCCAGGGGAGGAGCTGTATAGCTCCTGGGAGCTAGATTTGGAAACACATGGCTGGACGCATTAAAATGTTTAGAGCAACTCTCAGAGGCGGTTAGTGACTCAAGGTCACTGAGCCAGGGGAATGTCACGGCCAGACTAACCATCGAGGCTAAGGCGCGGGCAGCTGAGAGAGATTAAGGAAGGTCTAGGGGGAACACAGTCATTTAGGGACTAGAACTGTTTAAGGACCAGGCAAACACCATACCACTTCTTAATTTTTTAAATCAAACACTTTATTTCCACATAACAAGCGCAAAAAACTCCCAAACACTTTAACAATACAATTAACGCAGTTATGAAGTCAATTATATACTACTCAAAGCCCCAAAAGGTCAATCAGCTTAACGTTCCAAACATTTCCAGACGTGGTTTTTCAAAGCTACCTTTGGTTTTTGGAAAAACCAGTATGGAAGTCAATATACATTGAATGCATTGAACAACATTTGCTTATATTAAGGTGTCCAACAACATTAGCTTACACCTGGCAAGTTGGAGCATGATCTGAAGTCATACGCTGAAATACATACACAGGTTCTGCCCCCGCAGCTCCTGCGGTGAGGAGCGAGGGCCGTGAAGGGGGAGGACAAAGGCCAGTCCAGGCTGTGGCATTTCTCGTTTTGTAACAGAGGTATGAGAGTTAACACTAGAACACTGTCAAGTCATTAAGCTTCATGTTCCAAATGGTCTCTTGCTGAGGCTTGAGATGGGCACAAATGGTGGGGAAGATGAAGTCACAGGAGAGTTTTGAGCAACAAGATCCCAAAGATGCTCAGAGAGGGTAGGAAGGAGCAAGCAACAGTTTCCCATTGTTCTCACATTATTTCAGGGTGAAATTGTGAATAAGTTCAGATAAAATGTTCAAATATTTGCTTAGATTTTTTTTTTTAACTCGGTTGCTCTATGAGAACCCTCATACATAGCAACTTTGAAACTTTCGTTATAAAAAAGAGCGTACAAATAAATTCACAAAAAAGAGACAGTTAATGTTGAGCAGCCAAAAAGTCATGGTTTATTATATCTGAAGAAAGTTCATAATTCAAACACAACCAAACTGTACATTTTACAATCACATTCTATTTGTAAACAGTTAAAAGCCACTGACTTCTTTTGCATCTTAGGACACAAACAGTTAGAATCAAGGCAATGAAATGATGGCAAATTCTGTACTGTTAAAATTTTTACCCTTGTTTAGTCTCTCTTCTTTGACTAAGCAAGCATTATAATACCATTTGTGGGCAAAAAAAGGGGGGGTGGGGAGAAAGAAATTTTAAAAATGGTGTAACTCGTTAGTTTGCAACAACATTTAAAATTTTCTTTATACAACGAACAATTCTGTAAGCCCAATATCTTGGTTACAGTATGCATAGTTACTGATTTCGGCTTTAAGGTACAACAGTTAAACATTAACACAGTCACGAGAGCGGAAACAGAGAGCCACTTGATGGGATTACAAAAAATTATTACCTATTGATTATTAGCAAACCATCATCACTCACTAATAAAAAGACAGCATCTGAAAGCAGAATCTCAAACTCCAGCTTTAAGCATTTTTTTTGTTTTTTTTCTTTCTTTTTTTTTTGGCAGAGAAAATTCTTAAACAGAGCAATATGTAGTATCAGTGCTAAAAGTTGGGGTTTTTCTTTTTTCCTATAAGAAACTACAAGGAGTTTTTTTTTTGTGGTTTTTTTTTTTTGTTTTTTTAAACTGGGGAACTGGTTTTCCTGAGAACCATGCTCTTTGATTTAGGACAGGAATAGAAAAACAAAAGAACATGGCCAAATGCTGCTCCTTTTTCCCAGAGATAGAAAGCATCTTTTAAATCATCCTCCATTTTTTTTTTTGTCTTTTAATTTTTTTTTAAATGATGGAAGAGTAAACATTTTTTTTTCTCAAAAAACAAACAAAAAAATCTGTAAACAAGAAGGCTCAACGTGGGAACCTTCAAAACAAAATGGAAAGCCTATTCAAAGTGCAGGGCCCGTCCTGGGTGGCAGGTGGGCTGCAAGTCACAGCTGTGGCCACAGTTTTTCAAACTGCAGAGTGAAATTCTTTAGTTTTATAACATGAAAAAACTGGTGCAATACTTTCATTTATAGTCCTAAGTCAGTATCATAACTTGATCTTTTAAACTCCACGATACCACAATAAGGTAGGCAAACATCAAGGCATAGTAGAGAGCGCACACCTTAAGAACATCCTTGAGTAAACATTTACACTGGAACGGCTGCCCTCCCCATATTGCCGAGTAGACGGAGAGAACAGCCTTCAGTGCAAAGTTAAAAGCTCATACATTATCAGCCCAAGAAACTTGTTTGCAAAAAGAAGAGAAAAAGAATGAATGGGGGGGAGGGGTAGGAAGGGGGGAGAAAAAAAAAGAGAACTCAAAGGCTAAACATGATGAATATACACAAGTGAGCTCATTCTATACGGTTTAGCATGTATGGCGCTATTTGGGAGTGTAAATAGATAGATACCTTTTCACATTATAATATTGGCCTGCATGATTCAAGTATTCAAACTGATATGTTTCAGGGAAAACAAAGTGGAAAATGTGCAGAGAATAGCTGTTCCCACAGGTGGCCCCTGGCTGCAGGCGGCGAGCCCAACTTAGTGCTCCTTTCTTTTGCGGCTTGAGGTCGAAGTTCGTGAGCCTAGTCTACACTGTTACATGGACTCTCCACCCCCACCCAGGTGGTCAACAGAAAGAAAAGCATTAATGGGGGATGGGCTGCTAATTCCCCGGGGGTCGCTGCTGCTGGGAGGACCCCACAGGCTTGTGGAATAATGTGGGGTCCCCCAGAGGGAAGTGCCATGAAGGTCTCCACAGTTAGTTCCCGACAGCCCAGCACCATTCCAGTGATTGAGATCGGTCCGGCTGGAGAATGAGTGGGAACAGTCGAGGGAGCCCAGCCGGCTCTGGCTGGACCCGAGAGACTGCCAGCTGGGAGAAGGGGTCAGAGACTGACTTTGTGCAAAGAAACGACTGATCTCCTCTTCACTGGCAAACTCAGCAAGAATAGTAGTGTTCCCCAGTACACACCTGGAGGAGAGAGACACAAGCGGGCCTGGTGAAGACGGGGGGCCAGCTGCGGGGTCTGAGCCACAGTCAGGGGGAAAAGCAGAGGGCAGGGCACACGAGGACCCCGAGGGCCCTCCCGGCGCCCAGGGCTCTCCAGACCCAGACGTGCCACCCAGCTCTGTTGAGGCGTCAAGATCACGTCCTGTCTCCTAACTGGCAATTTAAGGGACTTTCTAGGGCCACTTTGATCTGGGGTGATGCGCTCCCTTCTGAACGCTGTCCTTGGAGCCAAAACACAGGAGGCCGCAGCTGCTCCGAGGTGCTCACTGCCTGGCCGCACGTGCCGGCCCAGGGGTGGTGCGCAGGGCCACCGGCCGCGCTTCCAGCTGCCCGAGGGGGCCCTAACAAGAGGATTCTGAACCTGCGACCCCAGGGGCATTTTCCAGGCGCCTGCGCAGAATGGGCAACTTACATGTGCAGAGACTTTTGTGCCTTCACTACCTCTTCTTTTGAACTGTAGCGGACCAAAGCGCTTCCGTGTGGGAGGTTCAGGTGGAATGTTATCAGTGGGCCGTGCTGCATGCACAGAGTTCGCAGAGTTGAGCCGTCAATCTAGGAGACAGAGCCGGGGAGCTGCCAGTTAGACGCACCGCCGCGGGGACCGTCCGGGGAGGCGGTCCCCGGCTGGGACTCCGGTTCTCTCTTGCCCAAGGTCCTTCACTCCTGGTGCCACTCTGCACTGGGACTCACTGCTGTCACGGGGCACAATGCCTCCCTCCCCACCTCCGCTGGTCCCAGAGCCATACCTCTGTGGCCTCTAGACTCCTGGGTATTCCCCAGATCCCCAATTCCTTAGTTAGCCATTGCCCCTGCTGTGGCTTCAGGTCTTCTCTCTTCCCTGCCCTGAGGACAGGATTCATCAAGGCACTGCTCCCTGGGGAGGAGGGGGGTGGGCTCTTATCACCCAGCCTCCAGAGGAGGGGGTCGTCCAGGGACTAAGAAAATGTTCTCATCTAAACGGGCAGACACGGTTTCTCAAAATGTGGTACAAGGACCACCTGCATTAAACTCATCTGAATGCCCTGAAATGCAGACCCCTCCTGGTCCTAGCCCAGGTCTGCTACATGAGGGTCTGTGGGGTGAGATCTAGAACTCTGGTTTTGATCGGCTCCCATGCATTTCATAGCATGAGAACCACAGGATCAGGCCACCAGCCTGCCTGAGGTATCCGAAGACCATTCTCTGCCAGGCCTTGACATCTGTTCAGTCCGCTGAGCAGGCCCGGGCAGTCCTCATCTCAAGACTCACACCAGCATGGAAACCTTTGCTTCCATGCGACCTGGAACCAGGACACCATCCACCAGGATACCTGATCTTCTTACCTGAGGTGTAAGGTTTTTTAGAACAAGCCAATTTGTTATTCTCCCTGAGCTGCTCTCACCCCAGCTGGAACCTAAACAAGGAAGAAAAAGGACAAGTCAGTCTTGCCAGACTTTGGCCTGAATGGACTATTCAGGACAAACACAGCCCAGTTACACTGCAGAGATTCAGAAGGATCACCTGGGCTCAGGGCATCCGTCTCCTTCCTTCTTACTCACCTGTGCTTCTACCTGGGGTATGTTCCCTGAAGGCCAGGATGCCACCTCACTCCAGCTCTGACCAGCAGCTAATTCCTGGGGCACATGGCTTAGCCTCTGGGGGTGAGGGGCTCAGAGGGCTGTCAATTCAACACGGTGGGCGAGTGAATCAAAGGCCAGATGCCTTTGGGCTCTTCCCATTTATAAAGCTAAACCTATTCCCTACTTGGGGAATAGCCTAACTTCATGATCATCCAGGTGCTGGATGACTTTGCATGCACGTCCCACAGGGTGTGAAGTTAGAGGGGATTTAAGAGCCTGCGATCACCCAGACATTCCTTGTTTAGTCTGGGCTACCACAGGGGCTCTGCATCTGGCTTTCCTGTCTGGCCCCAAGGCATCATCTCCCTCTCCCAGCAGCCGAGCTCAAGACATGATCCAGTTACTCCTGTCTAAAACTGTTCAAAAGAGCCTCAGAAACCCTTTAGAAGATGGCTACATGTCACAGCTCAAGGCCGCTCAGCACTCCCTGAACACCACCCCCAACCCCGGCCAAGCTCCGACTTCAACAGGAAACCCTGTGTTTTCCCAGCTCTCGGCGCCTTGGCCTACGCTGCCCCTCTGCTGACGTGGCTGACTCACACAGGCTTCCTGATCCCGCCCGACTCTATCCACCACTGTGAGGGTCAGGGCTCCTCGGCCACCTTTATGATGCCCCCTCATCATGCACTGCCAGGGGGTGAGCTGGCACCCAGAAGATGCCTGCGGCCTGAAAGAATCGCTAACACATCACACCAAGCTAACGTGCATTTAGTAACCTGGAACAGACTCAAGTGTTCTTTTCACATAATTAAAACCTTCCCTCTAAGGAAACATTTTATGTTTTATTTCAACCAATCACTGGTCTAAAGATCGGAAATTATTATTAATGAGGTTTCACTACAATTTTCAGCCTGGAGATGAGAAAACTTCGTGCACTTGGGGGACAGGGGAGCAGATGAGCCCTGCATGTCTGTGGCTGTGTGTGCAGTGTATGCTGGGGGAGGCAGCGGGGACGTGACCCGTGTTAGTCGTCTAGAGAAGGAGCGGGGGGTGGGAATCATTTGTCCCAGGGTTCCTAGGACAGGCTGGTTTAGGCCTGTATGGTTAATTAACAGCACCCCGTTTCACTCTGAACTGTCCCTGTTGAATCAATAAATTTTCTGATAATCCTAAGTACAGGCCAAGCTTTCACCCCAAAACAGGCCCTATCCTTAAAGGCCCAGATGGGCTGTCCCCGCTGACCCCGGGTTCGTCAGATGATACTTCTCCATGTGACGTGGTGTCAACACAAGTCTGCCACATACAGGAAGTTACTACACCGAATGAGATGAGTTCTTGAGCAGCTTCTGAAAGGAGGGGTCCCCATTCTACTAACTTCACTGCTGACGGGTGTGTGTTTCTGGGGAAACCCAAGTAACATGGGCAAAATTTAAAGTAAAATTTAAGACTCTCAAAAGCATGGCCGAAGACAGTAATGAACTAAGAATCTTATGCTGCATTACATTCTAATCCTACTTTATAGAGGACAATGCAATAGTCTCCTTCTCAGGTCTGTTAAACTAGACTGATGGTACTGGCTGGTGTTCAGTGAATGAACCACAAGAAACCACCGTCTTGCACGTTGTCTTACCTGGGGTATACCTGGCGTCAGAATTTCCCCATCCTCCACCTACTCGAAGGGGAGAATTATCCCACGAAGACAAGGGTGGCTTCTGACCAGTCAGTCCCGGAGGTGGGCGGGACGGAGCAGTGATGTTTTTAGGTGGCAGAGGGACCTTCCACAGCTCATGAGCCAGAGAGGTGTTTGTAACTGAACCAGGGGACCATGTCAATTTGGAATCACTATTTCTGGCTACTCAAAGGAGAAAAACAAAGACAGGGAGAAGGGAGAGAAATGCTTTCAGAAAAGAGAAAATTTAAGTAATTACAGTACCCATTCCTCCACTAAAAGCAGATCAAACAAAAATAAACTTTAAAAAGGAACCTGCTCCCTTGGCTCAAAATAGACTGTCTCATTAACAGTTTTAAGACTTGTGAGACCCTTAGTCCAGCTAACACAACAACACACTGAACACTGCTTTGAACTGCTCCAAAGAGCGAGTGGGAACTCCATAGCTTAACAATCATAAGGAGTCCCTCAAGACTGATCTCAGACCACTGGATTTTAGCATTTTGTGGTTCACTCATGAAAAAAGTAGCCCCGACTCAGGGAGTCAGTCCTTACAGCAAACATTCACAGCATGCCACTGGTCTGCTGGGCTTGTGGCATACTTCTCCTTCTGATCCTCACACACTCTCTACTGAGGTTCAGAGAGGGTAAGCAATGTGCCTATGGGTCCAGCGCATGGCCAGGAATACAGGAAACTAAATAAAAAAAGAAGGCTAAATAAAGAGGGGGGAGCAGAAGCCAACAGAAAAATTTTATAACTTCAGTCACCGTCAACTGTTTTTTCTACCTGATCATAAGGAGTATGTCTTTAAGCCAGCACATCTCAAACTGTGATGGGAAGTCTGCTCACCACTCAGCTTACTACTGGCTTGTGACAGTACGAGAAATTCAGAGTGAGCGTTTGTAAACTTCGAGAGCACTCGGACACTGTTCTAATCCCCAAGGCTGTAATCATTTTTCTAGCAATTTCAAGTTCCGGTTTACTGTATTTCACAAAAGTGATCCGTCTGCAAAGGACTGGGTGTTAAAAAAAATAAAAGGTCCTTCACTACAGATAGTTGAGGACTACTGCTTTGAACCAAATTACATTTAATCTCAGATGAGAATCGCTATTCAGTGAAACCTGATTATTTTAACAAATGAGGACTGGATATGATACATTTTAGAAGGGGGCGAAGAGTGTCAATACTGTCACCCCAGTTCAGAACGCACTCCCCCAGGCCCCCGAGGCGACTCCGGGCTAGCCGGGATAGACGTGGCGGCCGGGCCAGGCCGGGGAGCAGGCCCACCTGAAGCGCTCTGTGCTGTGCTGCTGAGGGGAACGCTGTGGTTGGAGGCACGAATGGATGACCAGGCACTAGTTGAAGGCAGCGTGGTGTTCAAGGATGAGGACGACCCTGCACGAGGGAAGAGCCCAGTGAATCACTCGTTAGGGCAGGAGGCCGGCGTTCGGGACGCAAACGCATTCGGAGAGCCTGCAACTGGGGAGTGTGTGCCACAGAACGGACACAGGCGTCCTCAGGGCCTCGGGCACGGTGCCCACGTCGGCAGTCTCCCTCTTGCCCCCACCCAGGCCCAGGAGAGGTCCCTCTCCCACCCGTCTCCCCATACGTGTCTCTGCAACACCGGCCTTGCTTCTCAGTACCGGGCTCCATCTGCATCCCTGGCCTGTCTCTGAACTCGTGACTTCCTGCTGGGCAGCTCAGCAAGGCTCCCTGACACCGGCACCACAGCGAGCCAGGCCTTGGTTCCTCCCCACTGCGCCCCACGTTCTCCAGAACCGGGCCTCTCTTCCTACTACTGCAGGTCCCCATGATGGCTACTCTCTAGCTTCAGCTCCAGACCCGACCATTCTGTGAATCTCGCCAACAGTTCCCGCTGCTGGATCCTTTCACTAGCTATAGGGCACGAGCGCTCACTGCCCACGTTCTCCTGTGAAAGCAGTGGTTCCAGGTGTTTCCACACAGAGCCGTCGGCTAATTCAGCCATTTCAGAATGACAAGGATTCTTATCTCACCACTGTGACCTGACAAACATCTCTCAACAAACTATGTAGTTGATAGAAAGTGTTGACTATTTGACATTTTCTTTATTACAAACTGTTTAAAGGGATAGTGGTGAGGATGTATGTTACAAAGATTTATCCTCCTTCATTTTGCTCACCTTTCCTCTATTGCATGTGTGCATGGCATTCCTGTACATGATGAGAAATTACCCTGTGGTAGGGAGGAGGAGGATTTTATGTGATAATCCATTGCAAAGCGCATCCAAATGCATGGACCCTTAAATTGCTCTTATTTTCCCTCTGACAGACCAAGAAAGCTTCTCCAGAGGAAAGTTCTTTAATATCCAGAGTGTGAAAACAAACAATAATATAACTTCTTTCATAAGAAAGCCATTTCTTAATAACCACAATATGGCAACTTCTTATAAAAATAGGTAAATACAGTTATTGGAAAGCAAATGTCTGTTGGTTCTTTGGGTTAATGTAACTAAGTTAATATACGTGTTCACCCTATCAAGTGATAATAAATCCTCACCAATTAAAAAGTGGCTAAGAGTCACCTAAGGTGATGGAGAGTTCTGTTATCACTGTCACAGCCCCTTGGGTGTCAGGCGCTGTGTTGTGCTGGAGTGACCCCTGCTGCTCACTTTCACGTCTACCTTGAGCCCCGCTCACACGGCCCTGCACCATTTAGAAACCGTAAACTGTACCCGCCTACGTACCACTGTTCCTGTCCCTGAGGTGGTCAACTTCCCGCACAGTATTAATTGAAAGATTGTTTATGACACTGCCAGGAGTGACGTAAGGGTCAGTTTCAGGGTCAATGTTTGGATAACCTTTCCATGGTTCACCAGGGCGAAATTCTGGAAATAAAAAACTTAAAATTAGTTCAGGCCTCATCATCATCTAAAAATCCACTATTATTGATCCCAAAGTTTTATTCCTAAAGTCTATGCAATTCTCAAATATTTCCCAATATTCTCAAATTATTTTTCAACACCCTAACAGGCTGATTTAATATCACAACTAATATAAGCTGTTATTAATGAGTAACTTGCGAATTTTTGCATGAAGTAATTTCTCTGGGTTTATATATTTTTAAAAGTATATTTTAAAGTGCTTTATTACCATCACAAAGCTACAGCAACGTGGACTGGACAAAGCAGGCCCTAAGTGCATTTCTGGTGATGCCTCAGTAGGTGGAAATGCTGTCAGGTCAGTCCCCAGACACCGCTGGAGAAGAACAGTGGACACGGGTTTCCATCGTTCTTCGTGCTGGACTAACTGACCCCGCCTTCACAACACAGGCACCGGGGACAGGCCAGGCCACTCAGCAGCCAAACCCGATGCTCAGCTCACTCTCCATTTCTGTGTGCTCCCCCCACCCGTTGTGTAGTTCAGGCCAATCACACGGGACTGGGGCGAAATCATTCCTATGTCCAGAGGTACTGAAATCTTTAACGGAAACAAACTCTCACAAAAGAAGATGCCAGCATTTTACCTGGTGGCCAATTAACACTGCTAGAGCCGTTAGGCGATTTGGCACGTGGCCAGCCATCCCCTATTGAACCTGGAGGACTGGCTGGTGAAGTACTGCTGTTCATATAGTCATAGGGAACAAATGGAGACTCTTCCAGCCTGAAACCACTTGAAATAGCACCTGAAAAAGAGCGAATGGAAGGGAAGTGTGAACAAAACACACCATCACATTCATTTCTTGTAGTTTGTCAAACAGTAAAAAAACCTTTCATTAGATCTGTGGGTTCCAAACTGTGTTCTGTAGATTAGGTGAAGATGTCAGGAGGAAAAAAGCCCTGCACTTTCTTTAAGACCTCAGTCACCTCTCTCCGGCGGGGTCCTGGGCCTCAGTGACAGTATATTCATTGACAGAAGAGCGGAAGGACAGAGGGCGGAAGGAGAGAATGCGTGGTGAGGAGGTGAAGGGCCGGCATGGAAAGAGTTTGGGGGGAAAATTCCAGCCAGTGGGTGAGGCCTGCACAAAGACTAGAGGAGAAAAACTGCCACTTCTCAGGAACTGAAAGATCATTGGGTCCAAAAAATAGTAAATGGGAGAGTGAAGAACATGAAGGAGCTGGGCCCTGACCCTGAAGGACAGGGACAACCAGGACATTTTGTCTTAAATGCTTGCAATTCAAAGATCCTGAGGCGGGGTGCTGCGTGCTCTAGCTGCCCCGGCCCCACCACTGCAGACTGACCGATGCCCTGTCTGTTCCCTCAAGCCTTCACAATTGGCAACACCCTAGGACTTGGCAATGAGTTCACTGTATCTAAGGGTTTTAGGAAGGGAAGTCATACTAATACAGTTCCATTTGTTTTGAAGTCACATGTGCTGTAGTGTAGAAAAGAGAAGGAAGGCTAGCACGGAAGCAGGGAGACTAGGAGACGCAGCAGATGCATAAACCAGAAAGCAGAATGGGCACTGTCCAGAGATGGACTGGATGGGGAGACTGGAGGAAGGAAGAAATCGAGAGTATCTCTTAGGCTCAAATATCTACCAACTGAGGAGTACATAAACAAAACGTGGTACATGTAATCCAATTCAACTATAAACAGGAATGAAATACAGCATGCTACAACACAGATGAACCTTGAAAACATTATGCTAAGCCAAAAATGCCAGCCATAAGAGACCAGATATTACATGCTTCCACTTACACGAAATGTCCAATACAGACCCATCTATAGAAAACAAAAATGCTAGTTTTCACTTATGGCTAATGGAGGTGGGAGGGATGACACTTAAGGGGTTCCTTCAGGCTGACGGTGTGATGGGCACACAACTCTAATGTACTAAAAGCCACAGAAGTGCACACTTTAAAAGCAGGCCTGTCCATGTAAATTATCTCAGTAAATTTTTTGAAAAAGAGAATGCCTCTTAAATTTCTAGATTCAATTTCTGGAATGGAGAGGAGCAAGGGTGAAGAAAGTGAAACCTATGAGATCCCTCTGGGGTTCTCCCGCGTACAAAAGCTTTTCCGTGTCCCCCATTTCTTGTTTGTAGAAAAAAGATTCAGCCTCCTAGACCTTCCCTGAGTTCCAAATGGCTGATTCAATTAGGGGAGCAAGGGAATGCAGAAACAAAGGAAAGGCAGTCAAGAAACAACAGTACAGCCAGGCCCTGCTTCCTCCTCCCAGGATATGTCAACAGCCCCCAGCCGGGTGGAGGGCAGAGACTGCAGGCTGAGCACGAGCACCGGACCCCAGAGGACGGACCAGAAGGCGAGTGGCCGAGACTCCCGAGCCACCACCGTGTTATCTCACCACCCACCAGAGGACGGTAATACCCCTGCAGTCTACCCCCTCAATTCTGCCTATAAAAAACCTCTTCCCCTGAAAACCATGGCGAGTTGGGCTTTTTGAGCACCAGCTGAACATTCTCCTTGCTTGGCCTTGCAATACGCTATCCCAAACTCCGACATTTCCGTTTGTTTGGCCTCACTGTGCGTCAGACACACAAAACTGGATTTGACAACAAAAGGAAAGTGTCTTGTCTGTTGCAGATTTTGAAATAGATATGAGGAAAGTTTTGGTTCATGGACCCAGGGCTGCTCCAGCTATGAGCTTCTGGTAAAACACAGGACCTCATGTCACTCTCTGGTGGGCACTAACGCATCCCTGACTTGAATCAGTGATCCCACCAACTCCACTGCCCTCCCTTCTCTGGAGTCCTCATCGAGCTATTACTTTTATCTGCGTGAGCTATGTATCTTAGCTGAATTAAAGTCACTTGGAAATAAAGTAGGATATATAAAGTAGTAGTTCTAAGTAATATAGTGAGTAAGCATGATTGCCAAATTTCAAGTGATTAATTCTTATGCAAGAACCAGCAATAATAAAAGCACTCCCTGTCCTCCGCTTGTTAAAAAGAAACACTTTCTACTTATTAAAACTTCATTTTGTTAAAAAGGAAAATAGACGTGACTTAAGTGTTAGCGATGGTTCAATTACATTCTATCAGTGACTATATGGGAGAACATCAGAAAAATGAAACATAAAATTTATGTGGGAGGTTTTAGTTTAAGCAAATAGAGCTGGATTTACACTGGAGAAATGGCCCTGTCTTACAGGGAGGGCACTCATGACATAACAATGATGGCAAGAGCAATAACGAGGAAGGCTGAGACCCACTGGTCACTTACATATCTAACCCTGGTTAGTGCTTAAGTGCTTCAGAGATATTGCCTTACTCATCCTCAAAACACCACAAGGGGTACTATTATTACTCCCATTGAGCAGATGATGGACTGAAGTTCAGAAAGGTTAAGTTACTTGCCCTTGCCGTAGCTAATACGTAGCAGAGCTAATACACTGCAGTTAAGTGTTGATTCTAGAACCCGTATTTCTTTTGACATTTTTATCATTGTCTCAGCTGCCACTTTTAAGGGAAATTCCAGATGTAACACAACACTGAGAGGCATGTTAGCTTAGAATTCAGGGCTGCTTGATTCACGTTCCAATGTTCCTTCAATTACATGGCAATTTCACCTTCAATTTCGGGTAATCATCAGTCCAGTGTGTACAAAGCAGCAACCTGACCTTTAAGCCAAAGTTAGTCAAAGTTTTAAGAGAAAATCCAATGGAGAAAGGAATCGATGTCACAAAATATCCTTTTAATACTAAACAGGGGAACATAGATCTGATGTTACTTAAGTTAGAAAACAACTCTCTCCTAGCTCTTCCTTATTATCTAAAATCACTAAATCCTGTCAATTTTGCTTCCTACATAAACTCTTTTTTTCTGTGATCACAAAGATTTTGGAATCATTTTGTTTTGGGTTCCCTGTATATAGCATACAGTCAGGTTTTACTTTGGGATTCAATAAGAATTTCTTTTAATAAATTAGTCTGACCCACTTACATTAATCAAATTGATATATATTTTATTTTAGTTCTTTCATATAATTTTATATGATACCTTTTATTTCTTTATAAGCAACAGCCCTCAACTCTGAAATAAACGTATTCCTGCTCTTGAACACTGTACTTTTCTCTGGGCGACGAGGAGCAAGGGGTCTTATAAACTGGTGAAGAAAACAGAATCATGGGACCATAAAGTATGAAGTATCACAAACACCCCAGAGCCCAGTCCAACCCTCACTGCTCCACAACTCTGGGGTTCAATGTCGTTGTCTCCACTCTATCCCCTGGTGTTGTGACTGTGGGAGGTGCACAGTGAAGGGTTAGCACAGCAGGGCTAGGCTGCACATGGCAAAGAGCTCCAAGACCAGCCCTTGACGGTTGCTGGGCTCCTGTAGCTCACAGAGGAGCCTGTCAGCTGCCAGATAAGAGCTCCTTTGCATAACCATGGCCATGCAAGAGTTTCTGATAACAACGGGACTTGTGGTGAACATCTATTCTTCTGTGCATGGGGCCTGGGTCATGCTCTTTACGTCTCAACACACAGGGAACCCAAATCAAAATGATTCAGAAATCTTTGCCATCACAGAAAAAAAGAGTTACATATGTAGGGTCTGCAGGGTGCTGGAGGCTGACACATAAGTGTGTTCCACGACTATACAATTGACTCCTGATAAAAACTGAGGACGCCAAGGCTGAGTGAGCGTCTCTGCCTGGCAATACTTTGTACATGTTCTCACACACTGCTGCGGGGAGAATCAAGTCCAAGAGATCGCACTGAGAGGGGACGACAACGAAAGCTTCTCTTAGTTTCTCCTGGACTCTCTTCTATGCACCTTTTGCCTTTGTTGATTTTAATCTGTATTCTTTCGCTGTAACAAACCATAACCATGAATATTATAGCTTTTCTGAGTTCTGTGAGTTCTTTAGGAAAACTAGTGTACCTGGGGATCTCTGACACAAACAGTTCTCTTGACTTTGCCCTTTCTTCTCAGCTCCACAACTATCTTGCTAGCCTGCTAAGCTTCACCAGATGGAGATAAAAATAGAACCCACGTAAGACTGTGATGCAGGTTATCAGAGCCAGCCAAACCTTTCCCACAGGCCTCTCCTGTCTCCAGGCTCAGCCCATCTCTGACATGAGCCCGAATACTGCGATCAGATCATTCGCCCTTAAAAAAAATGATCTCCGCACCCCTCTGCTACTATTAGAAAAACAGCCCCCATTTTCTATAGCACAGAACTACAAATGCCAATAGGGCCAACCAGGTTTTATAAACAAGTGAAGCAAGTTGCCTTTAGAAAAAAAATACCATGGTCCTTCCTCAAGTAGAAACACAATTTCAAGGAAATATCCCTCTGGTTAGGGAGTATAGAAAAATATTTCCCCACCAGGGGGAGGGGAGTGGGAAGAATGAGAAAGCAGCCACTCGGCTCGGGATGGTGACAGCTCTGGAGCTGGGCGCCGGCAGATCTTTCCATTCTGCAGAGATGCCAGAAATCTGAACACGAAACTTCGCAAACGTTTAAATGGATGCTGGTTCCAAAAAACTTATTTTCAAAATGGTGAGGGTCTAACAGCACGTAACACACAGACCCGCCATTTGGGGATCGCTCCTAAAATACATGAAGTTAGATCCCGATTTTACTCTTATAAGGCAAAAAGAACAAACGGCACCAAAATATTGATAATAGAAATAAAATGATTAGCATTTCTCTTTGTAATGTAAGGAAAACAGAAAACAAAGAATGTGCCTGAGAAGAAGCCTCTAGATCTCCACCAGGACGAAGAGACGCAGCAAGAGACGGAAAAGAACCACGGGGCAAACAGGAGGAGTTCAGGGAGAAAAGGACAGTATAAACAACCAGAGCTACTATGGTATGAAAAGCACCTTCGTTAAACAGACTGAAAAGCTTAAAACACAAAACCACCACCTTTTAAAACCTGAAATTTAGAGGGAATTTAGCCAGTATTTTTCAGTAACTATCCTTCAAAAACTGTGAATCACCATACTGTATGCTTGTAACTTGTGTAATACCGTACATCAACTCTACGTTAAATTAAGAAAAAAGAATAGGAACCTACACTGAAGTAAAAGAAAAGCATCAACTTCCTCGTTATTTTGAAGAGAATGTTACTAGAATATGTTCATTAGACTGCTATGTATACAGGTATAAAAGTATTTATTGTCTAAGCTAATTACTAAAAAAATTAAAAATTCACTGCTCACATTCCAGGTTTATGCAGAATTAAACAATAAAATGCATGGTAAAAAAATGATAAAAAGCAGATAAAAGTTTAAAAAAAGAGAAGATAAAGTACAAAATGTAAAGTTACTAATTGAATTGAATGAAAACAATAATAGAAGATACCACCACCCACTACTTGCATGTCTCATGCCAGGCAATGAGACAGGAGCTTTATGTTATCTCTTTCAATCCTCAGTAATTCTACGATGCTTCCTTTCCACTTCACAGATGCAAACACTATGCAAGAACTAGGATCAAATTCCAAGTCTGACTTCAAAATCTATGCCACATGATGACATGCCATCTATACAATGCATACTATACACTAGTATAGCATACCAAGCACTTGAGAATATGAAACATATTATACCTACAACAGCAGAAGGAAATACTTCATTTTTACAAAGAAACTGAGGCTCAGACATGTGAAGCAGACATTTTAACCTGAGAAGACAATCATATGGTAGAAACACTTCTCTGGGTCTCCACTTCCTATCTCTCCACCCATTCTCCTCCAGGTTTCTTTACTGCCAGTGGCTCCAAGATTCTGTCCTTATTCCCTTCTCCATCAGTCTGGGCAACCTCGGTCATGTCCACAACATCAACATTCTGATGAACACCAAGTCTTACTTCAGCCCAGATTCTTCTTCTGAGTACTAGGCCTCTACTGGGCCATTTCCAAAATATTAACACCACACTCTGAAATCAATCCATTACCTGCCCCAGCCGGCCTGTTTCATTTCCTACATTTCCTCTACCAATAAGCGCATTATCGTCCACTCATCCTTTCACCTAACAAAGGTTCCCCGAGCGCTGCAATGCGCCCAATGGGACTAGGTAAGCAAAGAACAGACTCACTCCTCCCTGTGACGGAGACAGGCCCAGATGGATACTTACAGAAGACAGACATGCATAAGAGGTGCTATTCAAGCACAAAGCCTGGAGGAGGCTACTTGGGAACGACCTTTGAGTCCAGGGTGAGGTACAAGATTGGACTGAGGAAGGAGATAAATGGGAGGCGCATTAAAGATAATCATGTCTTTGCAGAATGAGCAAAGTTAGTTACCCAGTCCTTTTGTCCTTAATTCTAATGCTCCCTTCAATGCACTCCCTCTTCTCATGTCTGTTTCCCTCTTTCTCTCTGACTCCTTGAAGCCTTGGGCACCTTTAGGTGGCCACATGCTTCAGGTTTAGAGTGACTTTGCAGGCACAGAAGTTTTCCTTGACTGCTCCCGCCTACTACAGCAGCTGTACCCTGCTCCCCTTCTCTCGCTCAGGCTGTCAACCCCCAGACATGCCCGTGTGGCAGAGCTCACCAGGTTATCCTGTCTCTGAACTTTTCTCACGCCACCTATTCCATGCTGTTCTTTCTCCAGTCCTTTGGTAAACTCTCGAAGACTCGGCTCAGAGGAGCCCGTTTAAAGCCTTTGCAGACCCGCCACACCCATGGTTTGTTATTCCTTACTCACTTTTCCACTGGATTTACTTTCTTATACTGTTTCTCCTTTTATATGTATTAATTCTAAGAGCACCTGTCACAGCAAACTAAAGTTGTTCACACGTTTATTTTTGCTACCAAACAATGAGGGCCTTCAGAGCAAGTACTTTTACTTGCATACTCAATTGTATGCGTGTATGTACACGTGTATCTATGTATTCCAGGTGACTGAGCACAGCTCTTGGAAAGCAGAAAATGTTTCATTAACATTTACTAAATAAATGGATAAGAAATTGTCAGAAATCAAGTTTGCTTTTTTTTAATGGTGGAAGTCTTTAATCCCTTACATCAGATTAAACTGAATAAATATTAAGTAGAACATTAAAACAATAAAATAAGAGCAAAAAACTTAACGATCATCTAAAGAGGGAGCAAGTAAAAAAATAAATGTGCTCCAACCTCTCTTTTTCACAATAGCACAATGAAGGTCTTTTACTTTATTTTAACTAAGATTCAATAACTAATAAAACACTTTTTAATAATGAGGAAAGGTTCTTAAGAGAATTTAACTATGAAGATATATATTTAAAAATTAGGCCTAAATTTAGTATTTGACAGTTTTTAAATAAAAAGTCAGAATATAAGAATGTATCTTATACCATGTTTGCTGGAGTTTTGATCCAAAGATGTGTTCACAGAAATGCTGTCCACTGTAGTCCACTTCCTTAGTCTTGACTGTGGCTCTTTAATACTGTTCATATCCATATTTACATTCAAGTTTGAGTTCAAGCCTAAAAATAGATAACAATTTTTAAAAACCACTTTATAAAAATATAGCACATTCTCCTTCTGGTACCACAACTTTCATTTTCTAAAAAACGTATGCAGTTAATCTAATGTTTTCAATCCTGTCTAATATTCCTTAATAAATATCCTGCAAATGTGGCACAGCCAAATGATTATAGACAAAGGCAAGGCAGGCAGGACAGACACTCTGGGCTCCTGGCCAAGGTCACGCAGAAACGATGTCAGAAGAAAGAGCCTGCCTAGGGTACCAGAGAAAGCAACACACAGAAATTCTAAAGAGCTAGCTAATACTCAATAATACACATTTTTAAACCACAAAACTGTCAGTACTATACTTGCATTAACTGTGGAAAACTACTCCTATAATTTTGATTATTTTTAAATTTCCTCGCAAAATAAGAGAAAATTCTAAGGCAGCAAAGTATTTGTTTAGCTACTAAAATATATCTCTTTAGGAACTTCCCAAGAGTACCATGCATGAAAAATTACAAATGACCATGTTCAGTCGCTAACTTTTGCTTGTATAAACAACAATTTTCAACTGCCTGACCCACCAAAGGATACTGTTATTTAAAAGTAAAACTGTCCTGCTGTAAGGGCAGGAAATGTACCTAAGGGCGAAATTCTTGTATCCCAAGGTGCAACTTACTTGATTAGCTAGTGACACATATCAGCCTTAGATATTCTCTTGGAACAAAGATGGAAATTTCTATCTTAGTCACTGACCATTAAGCCAGTGTTTCTTGAAGTGTGATCCTGGGCACCATCATCTACAGAATAATCTGAGATGCTTGTTAAAAATGAAAACTTTCCAATTCCCTGCTTCTACTGCAGGGGGCACGGGTTTGATCCCTAGTTTGGGAACTAAGATACCACAAGTCATGCAGTGAGACCAAAAAAAAAAAAAAAAAAAAAAATTGATGATAAATGTTTTCTTTAGCAGAAGTACGCACAGGGTAAGAAATTAAAAGAATATAAATGGGCACACAATGAAAAATAAGTCAAGATGAGTTCTTAGAAAGTATGTGAGGTTCTATTATTTCTCTGCTTAAATCTTTCCAGTGTTGAAATCTACACTAACATTCTGCATGCCACAAAATAAAAAAGGAAATAAATTTTAAAAAAGAAAGAAAAATTTTCAGCAAGAGCCAGAAACTTTGTTTAATATATCCAAATGGTTCTTAATCTAAAGTTTCAAAATAAATGGTTTTTTAAGATACTGGGTCTGGTGGAGAGTCCATGTGATACCAGGTCAAACTTAAAACTTTAATAATATAAATTCGCTAGTATCATCCCTATTTGGAGAAAGTAATTAAATTTACTGCCCTCTGGACTCACCATTTAGACCCAGTAGTCGGAAAGCTTTTTAGGTAAAGGTTTAGACAGTAAATCTCTTAGACTCAGTGGGTCACACGGTCCGAGTGTCTTTATGCAACTCTGTTGTAGCACAAACGCAGCTAGGAAATACTTTAACAAAACGGCATGGCTATGTTCCAATAAAATTTTATTTACAAAATCAGGCAGCTAGACAAATTTGACCAATGGGCTGTAGTTTGCCAGTGCCTGATTTAGACCACCACACTGGCACTTGCCTGGGTTAAAGCAGACTTCCTTAATCAGGAAAAAGTCTCTTGCTCTACGGCCAGCCAGGATAGGAAATTGCTCATTTAGAAACTTATCTCCTCAGTGGCCCAATCTATATGCTCAGTATGTAATCACACAGTGAGAGTCACTTCCTTTCTAGTGAGACCAAAACCTCTCAATGTACACCTGGGTATTCTTTTATCACCATACTGCTGTCTCTGGGAGGACATGGCTTCTATGATATTCGCCTAACAGACAAAGGAATGTAAAAAGATTGCTAACAACTCCTGAAACTGGAAGTTCCATCAGTGTCCTAGCGGAGTCCACAGTGAAAGCAGGGAGAGCTGAGTCATGTATCAGGTCCAGCCAACACGAATCGGGAGCAGGGACAACAGCAGGCCCAACCTCCGCCCACAGCCCAGAACATGCTAGTTAACTGAACGTCTTCAACAAAGTTGGGCGAGTAACCAAAGAAGCTGGTTTACAAAAGAGAAAGAAAAAGGGAAACGAACAGGGTGTGAATGATCAAAGGTCAAAAGATACTCAAAGGCACAAGAAGAGAAGGGACCTAAGGAAGGAGAAGACATATATACCTGAAATTCCCAGAGGGAATAAAAAACCTGGAGACATAATAAGAAAAGAGGGGTTGGGGGGAAGCAATGCAATAAAAGCAATTCCTTCTCTCATACCTATTTTTTACATTTTTGCCAGTAATTTATTGTAAACATTTAAACAATAGTTACAATTTCAGATATGACTGTTCCAAGTTATTTCTACAAAGCAGCAAAGCTCAAAATTTCTCTGGCGTGCTCTAATAATTTCAGTCCTCCCCTCCCCTTCCTATCCTATGATGAAGATATCTGAGTCTTAAAAAGAAATATATTTATGCTAACTCATTTCAAACGAGCACGCTGCTGTGCTGTGCTCAGCAGTGTCTGACTCTCTGTGACCCCGTGGACTGCAGCCCACCAGGCTCCTCCATCCATGGGATTTCCCAGGCAACAATACTGAAGTGGGCTGCCATTTCCTTCTCCAGGGGATCTTCCTGACCCAGGGATTGAACCACGCCTTTTGCATCTCCTGCACTGGCAGGCGGATTCTTTCCACTGTACCACCTGTGCATGGGCTTTGTGAAATGTGTGATTTTCTTGAACAGAGACAGATGTTCCTGAAGTATGAAGAGAGGCTAATGCTGGAAGAAGCGTGGCCACTCAGAGATGAAGCAGCTAAAGAACAACATGGTGCTCATGAGAGAACAAGTGGACAGGTCAGACAGCAATATGTCAACTTGTGATCACCAAACACCAGCCCAATGCTTTGGCCAAGGAAAAACCCACCTATAGGGAAGTTGCTGAAAGCATTTATTGGTGATGGCCCTTTTTGCAGCTCAGGTGTAGTGTGGGGCATGACATTTTCAAGGAAAGACTTCATGGCTGGCTGATGGAGTGACTGTTGCTGAGATGGCGGAGTTTGTTGCTTCACCAACAGGTTTGGATCAAGTTGACGAGATTGTTGCATCATCTGCTGCTGCACGCTAAGAGGTCGACCCTTAAAACAACAAAATGATTGGGAAGTTGTGGAGAGAAGTCTTTACGGATACCTTCGATCCCCCCTTCATTTTTGAATTCAGTTCCTTCCCATCAGGAAGGTGAAGAATCATTGTCCACCAGTTAGTAAGACCTCTAGGCAGACAGAAGACTTAATAATGTTTTCCATTATATTTTAATAAAGGCATTTCAACTGCCTTGTCAGGATGACAATGGAAGCGATCTAAGTTGAGTGTGAGAAGCAAGGGGAAGGATGGCACCTACCTGCTGGTCTTGCTGCTGCCGGTTCCCAGAAGGCACGCTTCTCTGACTCTGCGCCCTTTGCTGCTGCGCTAACAATCGCTGGGAGGAAAAGTGCAAACAGGTCGTCAGCATCACAGCATCACAGACAAGCGTGCCGCAGAGTGACTGTGGCAGAGCGGCCTACAAAGGCACGGCTCCATCTAGTTGATGCCAACACGCCCTGCCTCATCCAGTATCATCTCTGGACTGGAGACTGTCCTCTGGAGGACTCTGGCCTCCAGCCATTCTGCTGAATTCAGTCCTTTGCTCAATCCAAACTTCCACTTCATCAGGTAAATGTTTTCTGGTCATCCTACTCCCACGGCCACCCCAGACTTGGCTGGGCTTGCTCACACCGCACTCTGCCCTTCCAGTTTACCATCTGCCTTCACTTAAGAGACTAGAAGCTCCCTGAGGGTCACGACTATGCTTGCTTTGTCTACTGACACTTCCTGCTCAGACTCTAGCGTGGAGTTTACAGTAGACAATGAATGTATACTGAATATGGCTGTTATTCTGTTCTACTTACCTGTAACTGGGAGATCTGAGAAAGCTGGTTTAGTTGGGATAGCTGGTTCAGCATGGCTACCTGTTGAGGGCCAAAGAGCGGATTCAGGCCACCGTTGTTTGGTGCATACTTCAGCAATGAAACTGGAACCTGAGGATCACAGTGGTTAAGTTAACTATGTTGATAAAAGAAACTCAAGCTAACAAAACATACTATGTGTTTTAAAATATCAGTAGAGCAATTACACTTGTGGATTATTACAGCGGGGCGGGGGGGGGGGGGGGGGGGGGGGGTGTGTTCTTTCTGGCTTCATTAATTTTTTGTTCCCATGTATTTTCATGGGTTAAGTAAAAAGTGGCAGTGATGAATCTTCAGAGAGTTAATTCATACTGCTACTGTCATTCTCCCCGCAAGGTACTTTATGAAAGAGAATGATAGATTTGAGATTTAAATTTTCTTTAACTCATTTGCTGCACCCTACCCACAACCCTTTGTACTAATAACTCATTCAGAATTAGCTGCATAAGTGGCCAATAAATAATCCGACGACCAACCAGTCATCTCATTCAAATATAAATTTATTTGAGGTTCTACTCCAGGAAACAGTAGAGAATTGAGCAGAAAAGCTTCTTCACCTGAGGGGAGAGTAATGGAGGAGGCACTTGAGCACGGAGATTAGGCTGAGATGAGCTGAGAGGCTGTGCTGGAGGCTGCTGCATGCCCCGGGGTTGTGCTGCTGTGTTCCCGACACCGAACATACTGGGATTGCCATTCTACGAAAACAAACCACCACCACCAAATAACACTGGGTTCTTCAGGGGCTGACATCTCATTACCACACACTGTAATACTGATCTAAACACAGCAACTACATGTAAGAGAGCTCTTATTACTTATACAAATCAACAGAGAGCCTGAAATACACGTGTGGACTTACCTGTCTAACAGAATTCAAGTTTTGCATACCCAGCCCTGCTATGGAGCCCAGGGCCTGGTTAGGTAGTGCACTATTTGAAGGGGGAAGCTTCATGCTTTGACTGGACATAAACTGCATGTTTTGGGATTCATCTGCTACAATGCCATCCTGATTGGACAGACAGAAAGACGTGCAACACCAGCCAAGCAAACAAGTGGAAGGGAGAAATCATTGCAGCAACAGGAGAGAAGTCACATGACATTCCAGCATCAACAGGAAACAGGTAGAAAACAGAAGAGATCAGATTAGTGTTAATTCTAGAGCACACAAAAAGAACCAAACATATTTTACGGGATTAAGAGGAAAATATAAATACAATCCCTGTGATAAACTGTGACATAAAAGGACAATGAACTACATGTCCAGTAATATTTGGAACTGGGTTATAACACTTCATATTATATTAAATGTTCTAAACTATTAATGAGAAATTATGCCATTAAGTGTATTGCTTTCTTGGCCATGGGGTAAAACAAGACAGAAAACAGACAAGACAACTTACCTTATCAAAATAAGGACTGCGCTCCATGGAAGACTCTTTGGAAATCTGAGGCCGAGAACCAGGGCCTTTCCCGACCGTTCGATTGTAATCACCAATATTTAGGCTATGTTTATCTATCTCCATTCGTTTGTCTTGTAACATTCCTAACAAATGCAGGAGATTATGTCATCAAGTAGGAAGAGAATTAACCTAGTTGGTTTCAGATAAATTTACAATAGAAAGAGAAATATTCACTTCCAAACCAAAATGACTTCTGCCTTGACATGTGAAAAATGCACTAGCATTTAATAAATCTTATATTCCTCACAAGTTAGGTTTAGCAGACACTATCATTTTATTGAATCAAGTAACTTGAAAACAGACTAGTAAACAGAAAGGTAAGACATCGCTGGTCATCTCAACTCTGCTTAATTTTATAATAACAACATAGTTTCTAGTAACAAACAGAAACAGCACCACAACAAACCATCCAGTAGATGTCTACAATGTGCCAGGCACTGTTGTGAACATGCATTTCTCATTTAATGCTTATAACTCTACTATCATCACCCCCATTCAGCCAAAGGAAAAGATCTTCCCCTCCCTAAGGGCATGCTTTGCTCTCCTCACCGACTTCTCTGCAATAAATATGACCTCCTCTCATGGTATCCCCGTGTCTAGCAAAAATCTGTGCTCGAAAGAGCCAGCTCCCAGGCTACCATCCTAAGCAAGTCTCTAACTTCACATCCTCACCATATTATGCCTGTCCTGAGTCCTCCTCTCTCCACAGCTGAGCCCGCTTCTTTGTCTTTCTTTGATGTTGGGATGTACTCAGTGTGTTCAAGGTTTCAGTCTTTCAAGTCTCTTCAAACTGGCCTCCCTGAGGCTTGTTCACCGTCACGGCGACCCTTAAATACCAACGCCTACTCTGACTCGAAGCCTGTGCTCACTGGCACATCTTTAACTGCCGGCAGGTGCGGTCACTTGGGACGCCCCTTCGTCACTTCTAACTGGAGAAACCAAGGGCAGTACTGCCCTTCGATCTTCATGGGGCTCAGAGGCGGTGTCTTTACTCTCCTAGTCACACAGACTTGAGACCTTGGTTTTCAACTTGTGAAAACTGCATTCATTTCCTTGTTCCTTAGGCTCCATCCTCAAATCTCACCCACGATTTCTTTGCAACTGCTGTCCTTCTTTTGAGAGAACTGCTGTTGTAGCCGCCACCATGACACACCCACTTTTAAAACCTCATTTTAGGCGAGTGGAAAGGAAAAATTTTTAACAAAGGGAAGTATTAGTTGCTCAGTCATGTCTGACTCTTGTGACCTTATGAACTTTACAGCCCACCAGGCTCCTCTGTCCATGGAATTCTCCAGGCAAGAATACTGGAGTGGGTTGCCATGCCCTGCTCCAGGGGGTCTTCCCAACCCAGGGATTGAACCCGGGGCTGCTGCACTGCAAGCAAATTCTTTACTGTCTGAGCCACCAAAAGGAAAGTATTCTTCAATAAGCATTTGCAACAAACTCTTCTCTGTTCTCTTTCCCTCTGTTAATTCACTGAAACATCCAAGATAGCCATTTTGAACTCTTTTCCTCACTTTTCACATCTAACGCAGGCAACTCTTCTCTCAAATCTCTCTCCAAGTTGTTCTTTCCTGAAAATCCACATTACTTCTGCCTGTTTAATAAAATCTTTTAAAAAAAGGTAGTGTGATACATCCTTCCCCATTCATCCAACCATTCGGCATCACTTCAGAAACCACCTGAGCTCCAAATGTGGCAGCCTTCCCTTGACCAATCATATAAGAAGGCCCTTCAGTTCAGTTCAGTCACTCAGTCGTATCCGACTCTTTGAGACCCCATGAACTGCAGCATGCCAGGCTGGCCTCCCTGTCCATCACCAACTCCCAGAGTTTACCCAACCTCCTGCCCACTGAGTCAGTGATACCATCCAACCATTTCATCCTCTGTCGTCCCCTTCTCCTCCTGCCCTTAATCTTTCCCAGCACCAGGGTCTTTTCCAATGAGTCAGTTCTTCACATCAGGTGGCCAAAGAATTGGAGTTTCAGCTTCAACATCAGTCCTTCCAATGAATACCCAGGACTGACTTCCTGGCCCTTAGCCCTTGGCTAAGTTACCAATGACACGCCTCCTAACCTCCAGGGTCAAATCCATTCCATGACAATCCCTCTCCTCTTTTCAAACCTCTATTTTCGTTTTGCCGTTGAAAAATTACCCCATTCTACTCAAACCTGTTCCACATCTCCTCGGATCTTTCCTTAAATGCCATTTTTGCCCCGGAATTTGTCTTTGGTCCATCACTCTAAGTCTCTAGTCAACCCCCACTTTTTTTTAACTTTTAAATTTTCTGGCCACACCACGCAGCTTGCAGGACCTTAGTACCCCAACCAGGGAACCCAAGGCCCTTGGCTGTGAAAGCACAGAGTCCTAACCGCTGGACCACCAGGGAATTCCCTCCACGACCTGTACTACCATTAATGTCTAATTAATTACACTTATTATCTCCAGCCCTACTAAGCTCCACACCCAGATTTTTTTTTTTTTTTTACTAGTTACTGGTTATTACCACATGGTTTTCATAGCAACTCTGAACTCAGTAATCTTGTCTATCCAACCTATTATATATTTTCTATCTCAAATAATGGCCAGTTATTGGTTGATTGTCTCTCAGCTCCAAATTCACCCTTGTTGACTGCTCTCTGAAACTGTATCCAGGCTCTACATTTTCTTCCTTTGCCAACTGGCACTGAGGTTTTATCAGCAAGGGGCACTTGCAGAGACGCTGCCGGCAGAAGTGCTGCCTACTTGCTCTTAGAGGCTTTGGCAGTGCTTCCAGCTTCTCCTGTGCCCTGCCCTCGCAGTTCAGGATGGTCAACCGCACCCGAGGCCAGTTTCTCCCAGCATTCCCAAATACCTCCAAGCAGCTCTGTAGCGGAGTGTCTGTGGTGACACAGCCCTCCATGAGAAGCTTGTCCCAGCACCCCAGAAGGGTAGACTGCCAGCAAGGTCCAACAACACCGCATCCCAGCAAGAAGTGAGTCAGGCAGGAGGCAGAGCCTTGTCCTCACAGGAAGAGACACACATTCTGGATATGGATCCCCCCGCCCTTACCATCCATGGTCTCACAGAGGCCTTATCCATCACTCCTCACAGCACTGTCTGACCAAAGAACTCATTTCATAGCAAAGAAAAGAGTAATAATGTGCTTAAGTGGTTTTACCACAGATATCATCCAACAGTAGTTAGCCAAGCTGAAAGGTACAAGTGGTTACTGAAGACTCAATTACAAAGCAAGCTGACAGACAACATCTGAAAAGGATGCAGTAAGAATCAAAAGGTGAAAATAGGAGTGGTTTCTCTCACCATTTCACCTAATAAGCAACAATTCTGCTATTATCCATCGCTTATCTATCTGTTAGCTGTATAGGCCATTTTCTTCTTTCTTTTCCCTTTTTTCATTTTTAAGGTGCTGAAAGTTGACTTTTACAATTTAGTCTCTAGGTTACTTCTTATACTGGCTATTCATATATTCTTAGGAGGTCCTGTTATTATCTCTTCCTAGCCAATCCCTCATCAATTTAACAGTAATTCTTTACATCTGTATTAAACTTTCCCTGTTCCAATTACTATATGGTCCCTCTCTTCCACCTGGACTCAGACTAAAACAGTAACATTACTACCTACAAAACCGTCCAGGCAAGAAGGCTGGGAATTATCTTTTACCACACGCTCATGCTCATCCTCTGTAATAAACTGATTCAAACCAGTTATCAACTTTTACTGATTCTGATTCCTATATCTCCACTGAATTACAATTCTTCCCATCAACTGTCTTAGCTTAGAGCTATGACAATTCTTACCAGCAAAAGCAACAAAATCTCTAACTGGTTTTCTACGTTTAGTATCTTTTAGTCTTCCTCCGCTGCCAGTGTTTTCTGTCCCAAGACTTTTGATCTATAGCCATGATTATTTTTCTAAAACATAAATCCAAATCATTTCATTTTCCTGCTTACAATTCTTTAATCCCTTATTTTCAGAAAAGTTCAGACACCCAAGCGCCACATGATTTAGCACCTACCTAGTTTTCTAGTGAATCCACCTGGGTACAGCTTTTACTATCACCACACTCCCACCACCACAGTCAATTTATATCTATTCTTCAACTACATGGAACTACCCGCCACTTCTCCAATATGGCTTCAGATGTTTCTGTCACTGTATCTGGGCCTTTGTAAAAAGTGTTCCCTAAATTAAGAAGACTGTGTCACCCAACCTGGATAACTTATTCCTGACAGGACTCAATCTGCAGTAACCAAAGACTAACAGTACCATTAGCTTAGTACCATTAGCTTAGCACAGTGATTTACACTTTAAAAGGCACACCAAATCGCATAATCCCCACATTCTAATGTACACCAGAAAGGACAGGAACACTGAAGCAGAAACCCACAGCTCCCTCTCCTGGTTGAAATCAATGCTCTTTCAGTTGGATTATGTCACAGGTAAGTCTCCCCATCAATGATGAATATGAAACTCAAGCTGATTTAATGTTTTCTTACCTCCAGAAAGGTCCATCTTATTGCTCTGTACATTTTCTTCTGGCGAGTCTCTCTGAGAAAGAAAAAAGTAGCTTGTTTGTTGATCTTAACTTGCAAATGAAAATAAAAGTAAAGCATTTTACTTTATTTCCTCATTTGTGAAATTTAAGTCGATCATAAAATCTCATTTTTCATTGCCTAACATGGTAAAAAAAATAATAAAAAAAGATATGTGATCAGTATTTTTAGCTATAACTATAAAAATAAAGAAGAACTCATGGAAAATTTTATTCTAACCTCAGCATATTGATAACGACTCAGAGAACAATTAAAGAAAACAAAAAAATGAAATTAGGGTAAGTTTATGAACCACCATTAAAAGGGGAGGAGGTTGCTAAGAAAACATACTTACCGAAAAACTGATATTTGAAAACTGTTTAACAAATGGATTTATCCATGCTTCTTCTTGTTTATTTCCACCTTTCATCATTCCCTTTGTAAAATAAAAGAGCAGAAAGATGCCATGGCCATCTCTATTTATCTGGGTATAGTGACGGATTAATTAAACTTCAAGACAATTCCCAACTCTCATTTTTAGCCAATAATTTCTCCTCCAATCAACTCTTCTCACAGAGTTGTTAATAATTAAAAATCAACTTATTTGATTTTCAACTTCCTTTGCTCCAGTCCTCTGGTATAGCTGTAATGCACAGAGAAATCTCTAAGGGCAAGCAGTCAGAAGGAAAAGACAGAAGCAAAGGGCCTTGATGACCTACAGAAAGTATACAGGTCCTCTGACAGTTTCCAAAGTACAAGTGGACTGTGTTCTAAAAAATTAATTATAATTTGGATTTGTAGAATTCTCACACCAAAGCAAAGTAAAAATAGTCACTAGGCTCTCAGGTTAGTCCAAAGAAACCAATTAAAACCATAATTTAATTATGCTATGTGCACTGTACTGAAAAAACACCATATGTTTCCATACGAAAGAGTATTTTAAAATTCCAATTTATGTTGCCAAGAACACAATATCCCCAGCAGCAACTAAAGCTGGGATTCTTCCTACTTGGTGTTGGCTTTCCGTGGCTGGTTGGGGTATAAGGTACGGAAACTACTTGGAAATATGAGCTGAGAGAACAAATGGTCCATGATTAGCACTTGGTAGACAGGGAGGCTGGAAGCCATAGAGACCAAGGCCTCCCATAAATGATCACAGAACCACTCTCAGTTTCTTGCCATAATTTCCCTATCCCATTGCTACTACCTGTTCCTTCTGACTGTGGAACAGAACACAGCTTCGTAGTTTCCCCTTGAAAGCAGGCCTCTGAAGCAAGCATCTAGACCTTTCCACGGTTTCTGAAGCTGACTTGGACTCCTTCTCCTCTTTCACCCCACCCCGTACTTAACTGGCTGCTAAGATCTGTCTCTTTAATCCCAAACGTCTCTCACATCAGTCCCTCCTGCGAAACATTTATTTCTGCTTCCCAATTCAGGCCGTCCTCTCTAACCTGAAAGAATGCAGAAGCTTCCTAAATGAGATCACTCTCTTTGGTCTTTCTTCCAATTTTAAAAACCAAACCGATGCCGCCTTTTTATTCAATTTGATTGGCTCCACACATTATGCTAAATAAAATTAAAATTATCTGGCATGGTACTGAAAACACTTTAAGTATCTGCCCCTAATCTAACTGTGGAGTAGACTGTCACCTCTTCCCCCCCACATTCTGTATTTCAGGCTACCACTTTTCCTAACACATCCCACTCCCAGGCATCTTTGAAGCTCAAGCTAACACTTCTTAGAGCACTCCTCACACCCCCATACGAAACCCTGAGCTCCTTGAAGTATGCTGTTATCCTAGTGTTTCTGAACCCCCAGCGCTAAGCACAGTACCTGGCACACAGCAGAGGCTAAATAAATATTTGCAGTTGCTTTCTAAAAGATTTTTACTAGCAGAAACAAAGGAGAAAGAGTAAAAAGGCTACACACCCTTTCCCTTCTCCTTTTTTTGCCACTCAGACCCTGTAAGGAAAGACAAAGTCACAAAACAGCATGGTCCAGTGGGAAGAACACAGGGTTTGGAACTGGAAGACCTAAACTTAAATCCTTGCTCTGTCACTTACTAGTTACGCAACTTTGGGCAAGCCACCACCTTTTCCAGTTTCAAATTCCTTATCAGTATTCTATCTCAGAAGGTTATGAGGATCAAATGATTTATGCAAAATATGGGAAAGTGATTCATAATCTATATGGTGAGGCAACAGGCAACTGCAGCCCAATGAAGAAAAGTCTTAAAAATGAAAACAGCAGGTCCTAGATTTAGAATCCCAGGCTTAAAAGGGAGGGACTCTGGCCATGAGCTACTGGTATCTGACTTCTAAGGTCCCTCAAAAAAGAATTCATTCTCAAACAGGTTGGAAAAGATATATCAGAATCACCTGGGGGGACTAAGCACATATTTTGAAAATGGGTCCCAAGAAAATCTGACGCTAGTCTTCCCAAACCTGGCTCTGCATCAGAAACATTTGGAGAGCTTGTTGAGAACAAGAAACTTGGTCCAATTTCCAAAACAACAGTAGGCCTAGGGTATAGGAAATTATACTTTTAAGAAATGCCTTACAATTCTGATGCAGACCCAGGTCTGGAATAAGATTTGTCCACATATAAAAGCAAAACCAAACTCTCTACTCATTCCTAGGGATTTCCATCCCAGGACCTATGGAGCGGAGAAGGGACGAAGATGGGGAGCGAATAAGGAGCACAGTAACTAGAAATTAGGGGCTCCAGGCGAGGAGGTGGAATGGGAGATGAACGGGCAGTGGGATGGGAGGCGTCGACATGTAGCTTTGCCCTTCTCTTCATCCTCCCCCCTGCAGCACCGTCCTGGGGTGAGGGGCTGTCCCAGGTAGCACTGGCGGAGGGGGAGGAGGAGAGAGATGCCCAGCTGTAGCAGTGGGGAGAAAGGACCTTCCTGGGGTCCTGTCTCTCTAGGTGGCTGCCCACAGGAAGCTCCACCTAAGTTGGGGACTGCCTGGACTATACTGACTGCCATACACGGGCAGGCAAGCACACTATCTTCTGTGGGGAAACTACCTTTGGAATTTAAAGTTTCAAGGGCTTTGCCCTTGAAATGTTTACCTTTGAAGACATTTTCTTTGTATATGGTGGCCAATTTAAAGATGAATTAAGCTCTTGAGATGAATTACTATTCCACATTCCAATCTCTACATCCTCTTCCTCTTCCCAGCCAGTGGGGCGATTTCCAGGCAGGGGCATATCATCACCACACCAGCCGTCTTGCATAGATTTTGGCCCTGATTGTGGATTTGTGACAAAAAGAAACATGTTATAGTTAAACAATTCTTTCTGGAGGATGAGCACTCATTAATAGGGCAGCGCTGGGGGACAACCTAAAAACCCTCTTTTATTTCCCTTCCCAGGTTTGCATGGCAAAAATGTATGTTATATACATACCTAAAAGCTAAACAAGAATGTATTTTTAGTAAAATTTTCAATAAAACACTTTTCATGCTTTTACAAATCAAAGGGTTCCTAAACATGGGACATTGGTGGCATTCATGTTCGTATTTGCTTAGGGCCATGAGGATGCATGGAATTTTTAAAAATTCATCTTAATACATATTTTTAAGGAGAATGGCTCAAAAGTACAGCATGCAGGTCAGAAGCAGAAAGTATCTCATCACTATACATGGTCTTTGGAATCCCTACAAGAATAGTAACAATGTCTATCTGAATATTAAGGGTCCTTCCTGAACTCTGTTCATTTTCTGTGTAGTATTTAGGGACTTGTCTGGTACCTGAGCCAGACCGCTTGGATATGTGTTCCCATGACTATCATACTCAGTCTCTTGTGCTGGATAGCATGAAAGTTGCTTGACAATTACGACACTATGTGGATACATTATCAACATCATAAACGTTATCCAATTACTTAATTACAGACAATGAGATCACCACTGCTATCAAACAGAAACCAGGAATTATCAGTAACTTACCAGATTTGCTTAATGTTTGTGGACCAACAGAGCTGGAGCCCCACGTGGATGTGCTGGATGCCGCAGCAATGGGTTCGCCCCAGCTAGGCCCACTGTCTACGGGTTTACCCCAGGCTGAAGTACCATTATCCACAGTTGTGGCTGGAGTTGAAGTCTCCCCCCAGGGCTCACCCCAGCCTTTAGAAAGTGTGGGAAAAGAAGTCATTAGCAGGTTGAAGGGGTAATAAGGAATACTTAGGGAACAAAAGAAGACCTTCACATTTGTGTATTAAATAACGATGCTGTGATGGGCAAAAAGGATGGCCTCTGTTTTATGTAAAGAAGACAAGTAATTTTCCATTATTATAATCTAACTATAATTCTTTTTCACCTCTTCTTTCAGAACTGCCCTCGAGGTACACAGCAGATTCCTTTGAATAATCTTAATTATGGCAAGTCATCCTCCTTTGAGGATGAATTTAATTCCTAGAAAAGCCAAGTCATTCTGAGTCGAATCTAGTGAATTAAAGCAGATGATCAAGCTGGGTAACAGTATGTGTATAAAACTTTTACTGTAAGTACAACCTTTCAACATCACTGTTCTGGAAAGTGTAATTTAATATAAGACTAACGATAGGTAGGCATCCTACTTGTATACGCTGGACAATACTTCTTAGAATTTATTAGGCTGTCCAAAGTCAACCATAATCAACAAAGGCAAAGACAAGCCATATATACATTGTTTTAAAAGAACCACAACAGCCTTCCCCTTAGATACATACACATTTCTTGTAAGAATTAAATCTAAATTAATAATACTCAGAAAAAAGAATCAGGCACTGAAACGTTAGTTCAGGAAGACACTTCTGTCTCTACATCCAACAGGATTATTATTCAATGAAGCCTCCATTAAAGAGACAGCACATCTCAATGACAACTAATGAAAAATGTCACTGTCACACACATACACGTGGTATTCAACATGCCTACTTAAATAAATCCCATCTATGACCAATTACAGTATCTAGATTTTTAGAGGACTGTACTTTTAGATACTTGTTCTATTTCTGGGGATAGTCAAATAATAAAGCCAAAACGTAACGGCTCAACTCAGAAGAACTGAGATGAGGAAAGTGTACAGTATCCCACTTGACATCCCTTTTCCAATTCTGCTTTCTATAATTTTCCGGACAGAGAACGGAGTACGTGGGATTCATGGCCAATACTACCAAAGGCAGAGCCGTTTCCTGACAGTAACACCTTCCCCATAATCTTCTTCCCTACAAACTTCTGCCAGATTAGAGTTGAAAAAAAAAAAAAAAAAAGGTTTGTGTGCACATCCAAAAACAGTAAGTTTGAAACAAGGCTCCTGTTACTATGAAGTACTATGAAAAACAATCAAGACTCCAGAAAAGGAGAACTTACCGGAGCCACTGCTTGCCTCTTTGTTTGAGATGGCACCTGCAGACGGTAGCAACTGGTGTACCTGTGCTTGCTGGTCTGAGCGGCTGCTGCCATTTGGGACATTTTTGTTCCACATGTTCACATTTTTGTAGTTGTATTTGCTGGGATCTCCCCAAGCTGAAGTCCCGTCGTCAATCTCCATTTTGCGACGTATGGATTCTGGGGATGGCTCCTCCCAGCCGGTGGGTTCTTCCTCTTTCGCTGGGGCTGGCATAGGTCCTCCCAGCCAGCCTGTACCAGGAGGTTTGCCTGCTGCTGGCGGGATGCCCCAAGATCCGACAATGTCTTGTTGCTTGTTCCAGTCTGGAGAACTGACTGGCTTTGATGAATCTCCCCAACCTAGAGACTGATTAGACTTTGGAGGGTCTCCCCATCCCTGGGAAGGATTCGGTTTAGAAGATTCGTCCCAGCCTGATGAATTATTTGGATTAATGTTATTTCCCCATGTAAAAGAACTAGTTTTACCGAGTTCATTCCAACCAGAAACAGACCTATCACTGTCACTACCTCCTGAGCTAGACTTCTTGTTAGCCTCACCCCAATGGTTACTCCTTGAAGTTTCTCCCCAGTTATCACTGGCAGAGACGGACCACCCTTGGTTTGACTTTTGTCCATCACCCCATCCCTGTTTGTTCTTTTGCGAATCATTCCATGCGGACTTCTCTTCTTTGCAGTTCCCCCACTGATTGCTCTTGACCATTCCTGTAGCAGCAGAGTCATCTTCCCATCCCCCCTGGCAGCTTGAGCCTTTGGAATCTCCCCACCTCAGAGCAGGTTTGGGATCTCCCCACCCCGATACAGATGAGGTATCATTACTACTAGGGCTAGTCTTATCTACACATGCCCCTGAGTTAAAAGTCTGTGTTGCAGAGCTTCCCCAGGCCTCCGTCCCATTGTCAGTCTTTCTCTCCCCTCTAGGTGATGTTTCGGTATCCCAGGCAGTATTCTGCTTAATAGGAGTCTGTCCCCAACCAGAGTTGGACAGGACACGTGGATCTAAGTCCGTTCTGTTTACAATGCTTTGGAGTAACGTGTGCTGATCCATTTTCCTTCTGTCTCTACTCTGACTTTCCCCAGTCCCTTTCTCCTCGAGGCGTCCAGTGCTTTCTGTGCTACCTTCACTCTCCACTGCACCTCCCGTTTTGGCCCACACACTGTTTTGCTCATTTGTCTGAGATGTGGCAGAACCCTGATCCTCTTCCTCAGTAGATTTCCATCCGTTTGTAAACTTCTTACCGTTGCCATTTGCACTGTCATTGGAATGCTGATTGCTAGGCAGTTTGTTCCATTCCACGCTGGGTATATTAGTGCCAGTGTTTTGTGCAGGAGTTCCCCATCCTCTTCGACTTCCTCCAGAATTTGCACCATTTCCCCAGGATGCACTCTGGGAATTCACTGCTCCAGACTCCCACACGCCGCCTCCTTTATTTGTGTTAACTTGAAAGTTAGTGCCCACAGGCCCGTTTATGCCAGGCTGCATTAGAGTTGCGTTCACAGTGTCACCATTAGCTTGGCCATTAGGGCTTGAACATTTGTCTCCAGAGTAATTAGAACCATAGGCACCCCATGTAGTACCGTAAGAGCCTCCACTTTTTGACTCTCCATTGCTAAGGTGAGAAAGGGAAGTGCCGTTTACAACCGAGGGAGCCTGTATCTGAGGATGATTCATTGTGCTCACACGCCAGGCCCCTGTATTACTAGGCAGTTCATTATTCTGTACTGAACCGGAGTTTGGTAAACTAGAGGTCATAAAGTTAGTAGTGTTATTTGGTCCAGTCATTTCAGTGGTAATATTTTGAGGTTGACCACTGAATGAAACCTTCTGTGTACCACTTACTTCAGATTCACAAGTTTCCTGAAGGCTTCCCCAGGTACCATGGGTGGAAGCGCCACCCACTTTAGAGTTAATACTCTGATTGTTAGGCATCTGGCCTAAGGTACTGCACTGAATATTGATGCCAGAACTACCACTCCCTACAGGCCCTTTTAGGGCAAGTCCGTTGTTCTCTAATACTGGCCAGGCACCATGGTTGCTAGCTGAATTCAAAGTGCTTGGATTTAACCCTCCATTTGATGAAGAACTTACAGTGCCCCAAGCATTCATTCTATTGTTGCTACTTTCTGATTTGCTTTCAGGAGCATCCACAGACACCTGACATGTGCTTATTATGGCTCCATGGGAAAAACCCCATGGCCCAGTGCTGCTTCCATGGCCCACATTATTGCTGCTGCTACCAACCACAAACTTGTTTTGGGATCCGAGTCCAGTGCTGTTCCGAAGGCCATCGTTTTCACCACCTGCACTCCCTGAAGCCATGATAGTGATGTGTCGCTCTGATTCAGAACTGGAGGCAGAATCAGCATCCATACATTCTGAAACCAACTCCGGATCACTGCCAGGGACTGAGGGCCATGCTTCTTTGTCAGGGGAGTCGTTCACAACAGCATTCTTACAGTTTGGACTAGAGTCACTTGCAGAAGACACAGGTCCCCGCTCTGAATTTTCATAATGGGATCCTGAAGTACTGTGGTTTATATCTAGAATAAAGAAGAAACACAAAAATGTATCAAGTGTTGATGGATATATTACAAATGTGTATAGCTCCTCAACAAAATATAAAACTTGGCAATATAATTACAAGGGCACTGGTTATATCCTAGCCACCAACTTTCCATATTCAATAATTAATTCCACCTAGGCAGGGAATTTTGCTGCTTTGTTCATTTATGTTATTCCAAGAGCATACAGCAGTAGCTGGAACATAGTAGCTCCTCAATATATATGTGAATGAATGAATGAACATATCAGCAAATAAAGAATTTGGAGTCAGGAAGGACAAGGTAGAAATGATTTATTAGGATGATGGAGCAACATAGGCTTGGGAGGCCCAACCTCAGGAAGGAAGGGGCTGGGATGCAAATGGGAAATGACAAGTGGACAGGCCAAACTTGGTGAAATGTACGAGAAATATATTAGGAATCCTTTTCTAGCCACATGTTTTTAGAATAGCTATTTCACACAACTGTTTTGGGTACTATAGCAAGTTTATAAGAATTATAAAGAATTTTCAATTATATTTGCATTTCATTAGTGTTCAAATTCAATCTGAAAAATACAGCACACAAGTAGAAATATTGCCTTCATAAAAATGTGTTCAGAGCCATGTTTATTAGAAGACAACAGAAAACTGTTGATACGCTAAAGAACAAAGTTACGATTAAAAATTCCACTGCTGACATCGAAGACATTAATGACTAGTCATATAATCCTATAAACTCAGACTTACTGCTATGTATTATCATCTAGTTATTTTACTGCTTATAATATTTTCCCAAATGCATCACTCTCATTCAGTTTAAAAATCTGGTTAAGTTAGAAATCTTCAGAGATAAGATGTGGGCAGTTAGACTGTCCTCAGGGGGTTGTTCATATTATAGTTCTTTACTACAGTAGTTATCAGAATCATATGTAAGTAATACATATGCTTAAGTCATGTCCCAGACACTAGGTGCTATAAGCCCAGAAAGTAAAATATCACTCATTGTGATGGTATAGTGAAGTGAAAGTCACTCAATCATGTCTGACTCTTTGCAACCCCATGGACTGTAACCTTGCCAGGCTCCTCTGTCCATGGGCTTCTCCAGGCCAAAATACTGGAGTGGGTAGTTGTTCCCTTCTCCAGGGGATCTTCCCAACCCAGGGGACAAATCCAGGCCTTTCGCATTGCAGGTGGATTCTTTACTGTCTGAGGACCTGGGAAAGCCCACGAGGGTATTGCTGATGTGGAAAATCAGATTCAACATGCATCATTATTTCTCAAAGCACAATTGCTAAGCAGCAAAAGGTGAAGAGCTAGAAAGAGTAGCAAAAAAAAAAAGGGGGGGGGACTAAACAGAGACCAAAAATGTATACATAACTCATCAAACATATATTTTTTTCTCAGAAGTTCTCTAAGTGCTTCTGACTTTCACTAATTAAAAATTACTTGGCAGTTCGAAGCTTCCAAGGAAAGCTTTTCATCTTTCAGTGCCCATGAGGAGGATTTTTCTCAGGAAATAAAGCACACAAAAACATCAGTCTCACTAACAGACCAGTGCCTGCACTGCGGGCGATATCATTCAGCACGCGGGAGCACATGCTTTATGTGGAATGCTGTCACTGAATCCTTGAAACAACCCTAGAGTAGGCATTACCTTCACTTTACAGATGAAGAAATGGAGGCTCAAGGGCTATAGAAAATAAGGTGAGAAAATCAGAATTCATCCTAAAGTGAAAAAGCGGGGTGGCTCAGAACATATCTGGAACTCTAGAGATACCCAGGCTGAAGTCTGGACTCTGTAGCAGCTGTATGACCCAACTAGTAAGATGGGAATACACACAGTACACACGGACTTCTTTACCTGGCTGTTAGTTAATCTAGTTTCATACGTAAAGTACGCAGCTCACTGTTGACTTCAAGTAAGTGCTCTATGAAGGGCAGTTTGGTGCAGTGATGCAGAGCACAACTCTCGAAGCCAGCCTGCTTGGGTTTAAAAGTCGCTCTGTTATTTACCAGCTGTGTGACTACCAGTAAGACCCTCAATACTTCCTGTGCCTTGGATTCTTCATCTATAAAGTGGGAACAGTAACAGGAGCTACCTCACACAGTTGTAGGGATTAAATGATGGCTAATTAAAACTGCTCTGAACTGTATCTGATTCAGATACAAATGAGGGCCATTATTTTTTTCACTGATGATTATCAATTATCAATTATCATAATTTTCAGTCCTATCTTCAAAGTTCTTCATTCCACCATACCTCTCTCATAAAGAGCAAAATTAGAAACCATACAACAACGTACTTACTTTAAATCTCTACTTAGATATCTCAAAAAGGTTGTTAACTCCACAGGGGCCGCCTCTCAAAGGAAAAAAACAAGCCTGCTTCTTTTCCAGTTTTCTTCATCTTGGTAAGTTTCCTAAAACCTAAGATTTATCCTAGATTCTTTCCTGTGAACAGCTAATTCAGAACATCAGCAAGTCCCAAACCTTCCACTTTTCTCCAAATCTAAAACAATCAAGCCATGGTCTGTAACAAAAGTATTCTGATCTAAGTATTTGAGTGTGTGTGTGCGCGTGTGCGTTGTGTCTTGCCACTTCCCATTCAACAGGAATTAGAAAACAAGACTGAGAAAGACAGACAAAACTACCCAAGTTGAAAACAAAGGAATGGACCTGGGATTTAACACTGAAACATAATCAGCATTCCCCTAACAACAGGGAAAAGACAGGAATCTGTCATCAATACAACTACTCAACTTTGTGCTAGAAGCACAAACTGATGAAATATGACCCCCAAATGAGGTCAAGATAGTAGAAAAGAAACAAAAAGGGTTAACATGTAAAAAGCCAGTTTTCCTATGCACCAAGAATAATCAACAAGAAAATGGGATGGAAAAGGATCCTAATTATAGAAATCACAAAAAGTATTAAGGAAGCTTTGAAATAGTTAACAAAAATATTCGATTAAATTTTATTCTAGGTCATAGCAGATAACCTGATTAAATATAAACTCGCTCCTCAATAGGAAGATATGACAATGTTCCTTCTGAGTTTAATTTAATTATAAAAAATTACTAACAACAGTCCGTAATTTGATTAGATATAAAAATTTTTAAATTCACATGAGACAAATAAGCGGATTTAAAAACTTTTATCATGCACTAGTTAAACAGCACTGTCCTATCAGAGTATGTAAGAACAGAAAAATTAGTCCAGAAATGGACCCAAGTATATTATCTAAGGTTATATGCCAAAGGTTAGCATTTTAAATCACCTAAAGAAACGGAATATTCAATACTTTTAAAGACTTCTTAAATAAGATGACCTATCAAAAGTAAATCCAAATGATTCAAGTGTTAAAAGATGGAACCATGAATTTGTGAATGAGAATTCTATATACATAAAAGCAAAGAAACCATTAAAAAAAAAAGTAAAAAACTTAGTTACTTACAAGAAAGGTTGTTTTCTTTTTTTTTTTTTAATGTCTGAATACTTCAAAAGCAAAACGTCCCAGAAAACAGCAGAATACACTTTGCAAACCAATTCTATTATCTTTAATGGTAGTGAAACTTTCTCACAATCTGGCCATAACCTAGTTTGGAGGGGGTTATGGTCCACACCTGCCTTATGCTGTGTATGCCCATGTATTTTAAGAAAATAAGAGATGCCATCAGTAATTATTAGCTAAAACTCCATTTTTAATCTGGAACATAACTTGATAACTTTCCCAAAAACACAAATTAAGAGGCGACCTCAAAAAACTGCATTTACCAACGATAGGTCACAAAGACCACTTTTTGTTATGAAAAGCACTTCAGCTTAGATTAAAAAATCTGAGTGTGTGTGGGGCAGGGGGATGGGGGGTTAGGGGGAGTGGGGTGGACAGACATTAGCCTGACTACAGTTATAAAAAATGCAGGGCTCCTCAGCGATCACAACTAAAACATTTCAGAGTCGGAGACTACTTCAGAATTGAAAGAAGTCAAATAATACACTTCCCTCACACACAAGGAGGCCAGAATCCATCATTACAAATAATCTGGAAGATAAACATACAGCAACATTAGTAAGTAGATGACAGTCACACGTTCCCAGGAAATTGTGAGGAACAGTGAGACTGTAAACCCCTGTACTGGTGGGAGGAAAGTGGACGGTTCAATTTCACAGTGTAACGCAAAATACAAAATTTAAACCAAGATTTGGAAGGCTGCATTTAACTGAGAAAAAAACATTTGAAATCTAAAATCAGCACCCTACTCTCATACAAAATTATGTTAGGAAGACTGAGGGCAGCTCTAGTACTATACCTCAAAAAGATTAAAAAAAAAAAAAAAAAAGGCTATGCGGAACCTAGAAAAATAGTATAGATGAACTTACTTGCAAAACAGAAATAGAGACACAGACTTAGAGAACAAACATATGGATACAAAGGGGAAAGGGAGGCCTGGGATTGGCATATGTATATTACATGTATAAAATAGATAACTGATGCTCTGTGGTGACCTAAATGGGAAGGAAATGCAAGGAAGAGGGGATATATATGTATACATGCGGCTGATTCACTTTACTGTACAGCAGAAACTAACACATTGTAAACCAACTACATTCCAATATTTCTAAAAGGGGGTGGGGTGTGAGGGAATTCCCGGCAGTCCAGTGGTTAGCACTCTGCTTTCTCACTACCAAGGGTGCAAGTTCAATCCCTGGTTGGGGAATTGAGATCCCGCAAGCCAGGAGGCATGGCCAAAAGGAAAAAAAAAAAGAATAAAGGAGTGTATTACACAGCACCTATTCAGAAAGAAGATACATGGGGTAAAGCAAAGACTGGTGAGAATTCAAGGGAACTGCATAATTCATTCATGAAGAATTTAGATCCAGGAAAATTCATACATTTTTCTAAGTTAAATATGTATCATGTAACAAATGAAATAGCCAAACATATGCTTTCTGCCTTAAAGACTTTCAATCTCACCAGAAAGAAAGGCCTTACAGCATTTCCAGGAAGTATGAAATGTTATCATTTGGAATATGAGAGAACTTGAGAGGCACAATTTCAAATAGCACTTGAGTGAGAAAGTGAAAAATGTTTTCCTTAGTTATTCTAATCTGGAGTCCAGGGGCTGGCAAAGGTTTTCTGCGAAGGTCCAATTAACAGATACTTCAGGTTCTGCCAGCCAGAGAGTCTCTGTGGTGACTGCTCTACCAGAGTGGCTGGGAAGCAGCCACAGGTAACATGTAAATGAACAGGGGCAGCAGCCTTCCAGAAAAACAGCCCGAGCGCCTAGGTTAGAGATGGCTAAAGACAAAAGCAGTACCACAACCAGATGCAATGCAGGGATTTTGACTGGTTTCTGGTCTGAGACATGGGGAGAGGATGGTGGGACACAGCTACAGAAGACACTCCCAGGGCTGCTGCTCTAGACTAGATGCTGCGTGTCTGAACTGAGTCAGTGGCGGCGGCAGTGCAGAGGAGGCAGCAAAGCCAAGAGCTGTTCTGGACTTAAAGCCAGCTGGGCATGGTAAACCAGTGGCCTGTGAGACATGAAGAAGAGGGAGACTGAAGCATGATTTTAAGATTTCTAGGCGAGTGAGTGGATGAATGGGGGTGCCAACCTTTCAAGAAATGGGATCCACAATGAAAAACCAGTATGTGGCAAGATAATTGAGTTCAACTTTGAACATGTTGAGTCTGAAGGGCCCAACATCAGCTGAAGACATCCAGAAGACATGAAACCTAAAACTGGGGAGATAAAACAAAGCCACGGGAGGGAATAAAGTCTGCAAACTGGTCAAAGGAAAATGAAGGAATGAAAGGGCTTTAAAAAGGAGAATGTGGTCAATGATTTTTAAAAAAATGTAGATATCTATTAAGATAAAAATGGGTAAGTCTGGTTTTTTGGAGGTTTTTTGGTAAGTCTGCTTTTTAAACCACAATTAAAAATAAAAAAAGTCTGGATTTGGCATTCAGATCAGTGACCTTAGCAAGAGCTATTTTAATCAAGTGAGCAGAAGCCAGATGACAGAGGACTGAAGCAATGTATTAGAGAGTCCAAGTATAGATTATTTTTTTAAGAACTCTAAAAGAAAGTAGAGAGAAATTCTACAATAATCCCAAGAGAATGGGAGTTTAAAGGAATTTCTTTTAAAGATTATAAAGACTTAAATATGTTTACAGACCATGGGACACGCTTAGAGCAAGAAGTCACAGGACAGCAAGGATGTACATTTATTGCACTAAAAAAAGACATTTGAGCACAGGTAGATGGACAGTATTTTAACCTTTAAACATTTCTGGTAATTTTATTATTAACAGTTTTTCATTAAAACAGCCCCAATTTTTAGTAATTCACCATTATACTTCACATTTCTTTAAGTTTCTTAAAAAGAAAGAAAGAAAGAAACACAGGAAAATCTATAGCATTATTACAAAAACACTCACATACCCCTCAACTTAGGAAATATACTACTAACATAATAGAAAACTCCTGTGTACTTTCTCTTGATTATATCTCATTTCTCCCACAGTAGGTAACTGAGTAGTAACCAAACAAAATGCTATATTTGAATTCATTCATATGCAAGGCATAATGTTGTTTTGCAAGCTTTATATTTTATATAAATGGCATGTATGTGTACTAAGCTGAATCTCACTATAAACTAAAACACATTCTTGGTACCATCTGCAAAATTCTGAATACAAACTTACATATCACAGGATACTGCTGAAAATATCCCTCTTTTGCTTAAGGGTGACTGTGGTGTCACAGCTGTATAGAAGACTACCCTATTCTTTAAAAAATTGTCTGGAGAAGTAATAAAGGTGAAGTGCAGTGAAACTTAAGGCACATGTGTGCATGTGTATGTACATACAATGTACTAACAAAAGCTGGATTTGAGTGGAGGGTACATGGGTGTTTATTGATATATTTAATTTTTCTGAATGTGTCATGTCAGCTGATGATAAAATGTGACCTGGGACACTCTGACCCACAAGAACAACACTGCCACCAGCCCTGGTAAAGCACATTAGTCCCACCAGATTCAAGGGTTATTTGGGGAGTGGTAGGGTCTTACCACCTTAAGGCTTTAAGAAATCAACCGCGAGAGAGTGACAATTGAAACCATCACTAAGTGTGCATGGCAAAGCCACAAATGGCAACTCCATCTGCAGAGCTGTGTGGTTTGACCAGCACACGGCTCAAAAGAAACTTAAAATTAATACATTGACCACAGTTCCTGTGATTTCTCTTCATCCTTCACTCTACTTACCTGTAAGCCTATGAAGGGTTTAGTTGTGTGACCTCTAATTTAGATTAGGCACTAGCCCTCCTCTTCACTGCAGTGAATAAATGAGAAATGCATTCCATGAAGCCAAGGCAAGTGTATCCAGCACTCCTCATCTTTACTATGCAAACTTTTAAGTAAATTTCTGTGTGCTACTGTATATATCAATTTAAATGTCAAATCTACTCCATCACCTCTCTCTGGTCAGAAAACTAAAAAGGTCAAATACACATAGACAAAGACAGTTAAGGATGCGTTCCCACATTTCTGAACTACATATAATTTCACAAAACGCAATTATCAGGTTTCTGGGCTATCGTTCATGCTATTTATACTGTCCAGTACACTGCTCTTCATTGATCACTAGGCTATTTTCTAATCTGTAAAATGAAAATTAAACATGTTAAAACAGCGTGTGGGTCACAAGCATCCCGTAAGGGTTAGTCACTATATTATTACTGTCACTATTATTTATTATAAGCCCTTCAGGAGCCAGGACTGATAAGAAGTCCCCTCTAATAAACAGATACCCAACGCTCCATTATGTTTCTATTATCATTTCTAGCAGCGCCTACAAAAAATATTTTAACATAAATATGAAACTATGCTGGTAAAAGGGGATTCACAAATATTTTAAAAAAGACAAAAGCACAAGTCTGCTTCTCTTGAAGAATGCTTTGCTTGCATCTTCTGCATTCTCTGGGGATTTAATTTTAAATTTTAGTCAGATTGCTGTACCCGTCTCGTTTCCATCTTAGTCTCCACATTAACACTGTCCACCTTTGTGAACTTGTTTTAGAAACAGGTGGGATATCTTTCCTTCTCAGCCCCCCACTTTTGAAGACTTCTTCCTATGTCCACATCTTAGGCTTCTTTTCACCTGAATGTATACCCATAACACTTTTGGGTTTCTTGACCCATATCAATCTTTGAGAAAATTCTTGTACTCCCATTGTTTCCACTTCAAAAACAGCTTTGCTCTTTCATGCCCCCAATTGAAAAAAGCACATTCAACATATATTTCCTAAAGTTACTATCCCACTTTCCTGTTTGTTAAATATGCCACCATTGCTTAGCCTGCAGTAGGTACTCAAGAATTTGCTCCATAAATAATCTCTCCGAAGTCTTAACCACAATGACGCTGATGACTCAATACAACTGCTTCCAACCTGACTTCTTAGAGGAACTTCAAATCAAATTAATTGCTTGGCATCAGATGTAACATGTCTCAACCAGACTCTTCCTCCTGAAAAGCACAGGTCCTTCTAGAAAAGTCTCAGGGAAGATAATTCATTCAGTGCCTAAATATCTGACCCTAAACGAGCTGCTTTAACATGTCACATAGCATAATCCTCAAGGCAACCTTATAGACCGGGCACTACACTTCACAGATTAGCAAAGACCATCTGATAAGTCATTTGGCCAAGCTTACACAGTGGTAAGTGTGTAGGGGTAAGTATTAACTCAGGCTGATGGTTTAAGTTTGTATCCTTTCCAATAACTTGCTTCTCTCATTCCCTATGCCAGAAAATCACACGTGTGTCCTCTGCCTCCTCACCTACCACAGCCAGTAGGCTGCCACAGCACCGCGTGGCTGCTACGGCACAGCTTCGGAGTCAGACAGACCTCAGTGTGAGTGCAGGCTCCGCTACTAATCAGCTGTGCAATACTGGATGATAAAGCACAGAGCAGGTCCTGGTATGGGAGAGAGCACAGAGGCAAAGTGAGCACCTCTACCTGGGACAGTTAGGATAGGCTACTCAGATGAGACTCGGACACACGGAGCAGTTAAGTGACCTGCTACGGTCACATGCTGGTATATTGTGGAACCAGGACTTAAAAAACCAGGTCCATTTGGCTCCAGAGACTCGGGCTGCTTACTGGTCTGCTACTGCTTTCATGTGTGGGAACCTTGATTATCCTCAATTCTCTACATGGCTTGGGATAAAAGCATCAAAACAGTTCAATAAATGAATGGACAAACCAATTATCAGAACACAGGGAAATAAACTGGACTCTGAGAAGACTGTAATCACATACTGGACTTATTTTCTGCCTGACCATCATTAATGAGCTGAGAAAAGCCATTCTGGGATAATAACCAAATGCATGTGCTCAGAACAGAACTTTCATGGGTGGTGGTCTTTTTTTACGGCACGTGGTAACTGATCTCAAGTCATTCTTGTCTTGGTGCCTCAGTTTCCTCTGCTGAAAAGCAGAGGTAAGAACTGCTGACACCTCACAGGGTTGTTGAGGATTAAATGCAGTTAATATGCACAACTGGTTAGCACGTAACTTTAGCTCTATAAGCCGTTTACTAAAATGGGTTAAGATCTGAAGGGAGAGTGATAGTTAACTTACAGGAAACATTTTAAGATTCCCCATTCACAAGTTCCTGCATAGAATTCTTACTTTACAACCCAGATATTGATGAATACAAATACATCACCAAATAGGCATGAATTTATAAACTTGCTACACTGCTAACGATGATAGTTGGAGTCTCGTAAGAAATGCCTTCTCTCACCTGACTGGTTTTTGCTGATCTGCACCTCTCCGTTATTTTGTGGCTGTTGATTTGTTAAAGCACTGCTTTCTGACTGGCTGCTTAACACTTTAACAGCAGATCCCAGGTTTGCTGCTATGACGGGAAAATGCTGACCCCTCTTTAGAAGCTGCTTATGTTCCTGGTGGCGAAATCGAGGTGGTACTTCCCGGGGATACCGAGGCAAGGCCTGTGGTGGCGGCTGCGGCTGCGGCTGCGGCTGCTGCGGTTGCTGCTGCTGCTGCGGCTGTTGCTGCTGCGGCTGCTGATTGTTGGCTGTGGCTCGCTTGGCATTATTATTAGTGCTGGTTGCTGTGGAAGTGCCGTTATTAGAGTTGGCAGGCTGAGGCTGGCTTACACTGGGCTTTATCTGTTCTGGCACTAATCCCAACAAAAGAAAAGGGGTGGAAAAGATTAGCCAGTCAAGTGTACCTCCATTGCAAGCCATCTAAGCAAAAAGGCCCCAAGGAAAACAATCCTAAAGGAACAGGCTCTTTATGTGTGCAGGGCTATCTTCATTCACGGGCTCAAGTTTTCTTGGGAAGGATCACTGCCAAGCATCAGATTTTGACTTCAGCTAACCACCTATCAGATAAAGGAATGGACAGCTATCAGCAGTCCCTGTCTTGGATGATAGCTCAGCTCACCACCTCTCTCCCTTGTTATCTCTGATTAGAGAACAAGCACTGATCATACAACTCTCTAACTCACAGTAACTAAAAGAACAAAGATGACAAAGTTTTGGTAATCCCTAAAGAATCCTCAAGTCCCGTGTGACTGTTCTGAATCTGCCTCATTCTTAATGTGTTTGATCCCTAGCTTTCATCTTTGAAAGACAACACAAGAGTAAGGGCAGAAAATAATCTTGCTAGTTCCCTTACAGAAAGACAAAGTTAACATTGTTTTTTGTTATTAAAATGTAAAATCTGAATCAAATAAGAAAAATTCAGAAGAGGGACAAAATACAAAGATCATACGATGAAATCTGTGAGACTAACCTAAACTAGAGAAATAATTTGAATATGCTGGCTTAAGCAAATTGGAGAAACAACAATCTGTCTACTGTACAAACAGTTGGAAACTACAGTGAATTTCTGGACTCCTAAAAGAGATTAAATAAGTAAACTGGTAGAAATACTCTCAGCCAGGGAAAATATACCCAATCTCTAAAATTACAGAGAGGCAGCATGGTCTATGAACTTTCAGTGCCAGATAGATCCAGGTTTCAATCCCAGTGCTGCCTTTAAAAAACTCTGTGTCCCTGGACAAGCTGTATAAACCCAAGCCTGTGGTCTCCTCTGTGAAACAGCGTAACACCTATTCCTCACAGAGCTATCCTAAGGTTGAGTATGGTAATAATGTTTACAGAGCACCAAACATAAGGCGAGGCAGCATACCCTGGTTTACTGTGCTTTGCTTTATCACACTTCGAAGATACTGCATGTTTGTACGAAAAGTGTGTGGCAACCCTGCATCAAGCAAGTCTCTTGGCGGCATTTTTTTTTCCAACAGCATCTGCTCACTTTGCCAGTCTGTTTCACCCTTTGGTCATTCTTACAGTATTTCCAACTTTTTCATTATTATTATATTTGTTATGATGAACTAAGATCAGTGATCTTCGATGTTACTGCTGCAAAAAGATTGGGACCCGCAATGGCTCAGCTAATGATTAGCACTTTTAAAGCAATAAATTATTTTTAAATTAAGGTATGAAAACTTTTTAAAGATATAATTCTACTAAATATCTTAGACTATAGGACAGAGTAAGCAAAACTTTTATATGTACTAGGAAACCAAAAAATTTGTGACTTGCTTTATTGCAATATTTACTTTATTGCAGTGGCTTGGAACCAAATCTGCAATAAAATGCCTATACCTAGTGTCTATTTTTTAATGACTGGCACAATACCACTTTATATTTTTGTAGCAATTTAATCAGCTTTGCAGATGCCACTGTCAAATAAACAGTGATTCGTCTCCATGTGATTGGTGAGGACACTGAGAAAACTTCAAGAGTTAAGAGCAACAGGCCTAAAACTAAAACAGCCTCACCACTCACTAGCTAGGTTATTTCTGTATCTTTTTCCTTGTCTATATGATATAGACAGTGTTGGTCTAATACCTAGCATAATGTAAACACTCAGTAAACAGAAGCCATTACTGCAGCCCAAATAAAAGAAATATTCATCAAATGCCTACAATGTATATGATTCTGTGATAAAGTACTGGTTATCTAGACTGTTTCCAAGTCACTCAACTTCCTCTTACAAGCCCTCAGATCTACAGCTGCCTCTCATTCAATGGTCTAGCCTCACTATTGTCTTCTTTCTCTGAACAGCGGGAGGATTTAGTTTATATTACTGATACTTACACTAATATATGATCTTGACCTCTTATTTTTTAAAAATCTGACTTTGACTTTTCCAAAGTAATACAAAAAAACTGTGTAGTTCAGGAGGAATTCCTTAGATTACAAATATTCCAACTATTGCTTCAAACTCCATCTAACTCTTGATGACTGAAAAGCCTCTTATTAACAATTTGGGCCCAGTGTATTCTAAGTCTAATTACTTGATGTATGAAAATTTCGTCTACTAGACAAGTTAATGCTCTTAGAATATTAACAATAATGTACATCCCTTTTGTCGTGAGGAAAATAAGGGACTAGAATATTCTAAAATATATCTGAAACCAAGAGGATCTAATATATATTAATTATATTATAAGGCACATAAAAAGTCTTAAATCTGCTTTTACATGCCTACTATTGAGCTCAGTATGGTATCTGGCAATTGAATGTAACCTTAAAGTTTTAGAGTTACCCACTGCTAAAAAGTAAGTTTGTCCACCACTTTATTCCTAAAGGGAAGACTGCAACAATTTAATACCCAAACAAGATGTTATTTATGTGAGATAGCAACAGGGAAGTATTCTTTAATACATTCAAGAAAGTAGAAGATAACTTACATGAAGACACGTACAAGAACCCTAACACTACTGTAGATGTGAGTAGGAATTCAGAAGCAGTATTACACTGGTCACCCCACACTTACCTCAAAAATTCAAACAACTCCTGTATTTTTCATTAATAAAGTGCCATAGAGAAAAAGAGGCTGAAATGATAGATACTAGTCTCTAGGGCCAGAAAACTTCAGTGACCTCAGCAAAAAACATTGAGACGTAACTACTGATTATAAAACTAAATAATCCGAAGTAAAATCTCAGATGTAAACATGGGATGTCTCAGTAAAGAATAAAGGAGCTAACAGTGCATGTAGGTGTGCCAGGGTATGGGTGGAGCTGCTGGGTAACAGAAATAAATATGAGTAATTTTGGCTACTGTCTACGTGTAAAGTTTAGATTAATTATGTAAGTAAATATGTAAACCATCAGAAGAGGGAAAAATGAAAAACCATTCAACAGACACAGAAAATGCAATAAAGAGAATTATTTTAAAATTGTGCTTAACATGAAATATAAAATGAAACGCCAAGCATAAGCCTCAAAATATCTGTAATCACAATAAAAATGTGAATGGTTAAATTAACTAGTTAATAAAGACCATTAAAAGGGTTAAGAAAAGAAAAAACAAACTTAAGGAATACACTTTGCAAAAATCACTCCTGAAACAAAACAATTCAGGAAAACCGGTGGAAAAAAGTACAGAGACAGATACACTAACAAGAAGTGCTAACAAAATTTAGATGAAAGCAGACTTTTAAAATTCAAAAGGAAAGCATTATAAAGATTCTGCATGTTGATAAAGAAACCAGCTAAAAAGAAATAACGAGCTAAGAACCTTTATATATCAAATCTTAATATCAAAACATGTAAACCAAGTGGAGACAGAAAAGAAAAACTGGAAAAAAAAAAAAGGCAAAACCATACACCTTGAAATCAGGTTAATACCTTTTCTGACAATTACTCATGAAATAGGAAGTGCATACACATACCATTCAGCACTAAAGAAAATATCAATGAATTACAAAACGTAGGAATAATACAGATGATACTTCTGGACTTTAATGTAATCACACTAGAAAAACTAGCAACTAAAACTGCCTTATTCAAATAAATCTTGAGTTGAAGAGGAAATAAATACCAGGACTCTAGAGCTATCAAAAAAAAAATCATGAAAACATACACACAATAAATTTTAAGACATGACTAAACCAGGGGATGAGAATGTGAAGAAAAAAACTCAAGTTAAAAATCCAACAAAAAGAAGAGGTAAGAAATCAGTAAAGATAAAAACAGAAACCAATTACTTTAAATGTGAATCAATAAGCAAATATTAAAATATATGACACAAATATTTTTAAAAGACTATAAACAATATATGCTATAATTTTACATTTTGATCTGAAGTATTTTACACTGTTGATTCAGTAAATTTTTTGAAATGCAAAACAGTGAACCAATAAATCCAAGGCATGATTCTATGAAAAAAGTAAACAATCAGTTAACCTAATTTTTTACAAATGTAAAAAATGAGATGATTTCTAAGATTAAGATATTTCTTTAGGCTCAACTTATAAATAATTAGAAAAACTGGAGGAGGGAATTATTTACCACAAGATTCCAGAAGAGGCAGAAAAAATAGACTAATTAGCACAAAAGAAATGAAATTATTAAATCATCTATCAGGATCAGAGAGTTTGATCAAAACTACCATGCATACTTCATTTTTTAAAAAGCTAGCACACTGTTACAAAACATATCTCTAAATCAAAAGCTATTCAAATTGTTGTAGGGCACAGCATAAGATCGAATACCAACACTAACAGTAATACATCAGACAAAATTTTAGTCATCCCAAACAATGGGGGAAATAAAGAAGAAATATAAATACTACTGGGGGAAAAACACATAACTTCATATATAGAGAGACCGTAAAGACAAGATACTATGTGTAATATACACCAATAAAACAGAACACCCAACTAATGCCTTGGCAAACCTTTTCTGTAGAGGGCCAGATAGCAAACATTTGAGACTTTCCAGGCCATACAGTCTCTGTTACAACTACTCAACTCGCTGCTGTAGCACAAACAACAGCTCAGACAGCACGCAAATGAATGCATATGATTGTGTTCCAACAAAACTTCACATAAAGAAGCAGGCAGTGGGCCAGATTCGGCCTGCAGGATGTAGTTTTCCAGCCTCTGCTCTACAAAATATAGTTTCCCAAAATAAGCTCACAGAGGAGTAGAAGATCCTATGGTGTAATAACGGGAGAAGACATTAAAAGATCCTACAAGATTTGCCTCTAAAAAAGCACCTGGCCCACATGACTTAACAGGGGGTGTGTGTGTAAATAAAGTCCTCAAGAAACATGTATCTGTCCTACATAAACGTTACAGAACAAAGAAGTACAGGTT